GATCTGCACTCTGAGGGCTGCAGGGTGAGGTCCGTAAAGTAGGAAGTCCAGCTGGCAAAGCTCCAGGGAAAGTGAAGGCTGAGCCTGTGGCCCTGGGGCAGACAGACAAATGCTGCCGCTCTACAGCTTTGACTCTTATCCTAAGAGATGGATGGGCCTTCAGAATTCTTCTTTAAAAAGAGCATCTCAGAAAAAAACGCTTAGCAGGGGATAGGAAAAGTAAGAGAGAATACTCGTGGATTAAAAACTCCTGAACTAAAATTGTGACTGTTTTAGGAGCAGGAGAAGAAGGCTGATGGGGAAGGGTGTTGAGCTTGAGCGAAGCCAATCGGCTCTTCTACATGTCAGTCCAGTGAGCGGAGGAGTCCAGTCCATCCTTTAGAACTGACCCTGCAGTGATAGCCTGGGGGACTGGGGCGATTCATATGTAAATATGGCAAAGCCTGGGGGGAAATGCCGACCCTGTTCAAAGGATTTTTGGGGGTTGCGGAGCATTCCAAAGCCCTGGGAAGATTCCACGCTGCCTGCTTGCCCTTCGACCCAGGCAGACACCCGCACCAGAGTTTTGGGGCTGCAGGTACCTCCCGGGGCCGCTGGAGCTGCTGCAGTGCAGCTTGGGACCAAGCCGGGAATTCAAAGATTTTTCCCCACCAAAGACAGCGCCAACCTTCAGAGGCAAGGGAAAAAGTGAGTGGCTTTTCTCTTTAAAGTATGGTGTTAGAGTTGTGGGAAGTTCTGGGTTAACTGGATCTCTTCCTTAGCACACGAAGCAATGAGCCTGTGGTAAACGCACTAACCTGAGCCGGGGGGATACCCGAGAGGCGTGGAATCGGGACTGGGGCGGAAGGTGGCATGTGAAGGGGAGTAAAAGAAAGAACAACCCACCACTGGTTGTTTTATCACGGAAAGGAAATTGGTGCAGTCAGGCCCAGCTCCCTCATGCCTCCAGGGCCGTCCCGGGGAGCAAGTGGGAGCTGGGCTGAGCATTTTATTGATGGGCTGGTACTCGGCTCCGGCTTCCTCTTCCCCAGATGTTTTTGTTTTCTAGAAAAGTAGAATTGTGTGATAACAGAGCATTTTCTACTTGGTGCGTTTTACCTTAACCTGGCGCCCACGACGTTTTCTGGCCCCTCGTGGGAAAAGGACTAACTTGTGTTATAACTTTAATTCTGTCAGAAACTCTGCAAAGCAGGAATTATTATCCTCATTTTACAGATGAGGAAATTGAGCCCACGAGGTAAAAATGGACTTTCCCCGGGGCTCGCCAGCTAAAGAGTGGGGGATCCGAGGCCCCTCCCTCTGTCTCCGGGGCGGCTGGCTGAGGGTGGGGGCTGCCTGCTCTCACTGAGTTGTCCCGGACACTGAAATCTTAGATGAGACTTTCTTTGTTGGACTGTATTTGGAATAATGGAAAAACAGTTTTACGCTTGGTGTCATTACAGCCAGATATTTCTAGTTTGACTTAATCTCTGAGTATTAATTAATTTGTGCATGAGCCTGAAGGTCACCTGCATTTTCAGAAATTCCTAGGATTTTGTTAAAATTGCAGATACCTGGGTGTTACCCAGATTTGCTGAATCAGAATCTCAGGGGTGGTGCCCAGGAAACTGCAAGTTAGTGAAAACACCCCGCAGGGGTTTTTAATCACGCTCTACTGTTTTGGTTTTGTTTTTTTAAGTTAATAGAGATTATAAATCCACTGTAGAAAAAAGGCATGCTGATAGTTATTTCTTTTTCTCTCTTCTAATATAACTAAAAGTCCAATTGAATCTCTTAATGTAGGTTGCTGGCTTCTGATTGATGAGCGTTTGGTGGTATTTTATGATCTTAACTATTATAATTAATAGAACTTTGATTCCCAGGAGAGAACCATTTCCAGGAAGTTTTTAAGATTTGAAGCAGATAAGCCCCTGATGTTTTCTGGTTGAGATTCCAGGCCAGGGAGGCACATGGTGCAGGATTCAGCGCATGGACTTGGGGCTAAGTGCACTTAGATTCAAGTTCCATAACTGCCATTTACTCTCTACATGACCTGGGACAAGTTGGGCAGCCTCTCAAAGCCTAGGTTTTATTATCTATTAAGTGGGAGTAATAATACTACTTCAGAGTTTTGGTGTGAATATTAAATGAGTTCAGGGACATAATACGTAGTGCCTGGCACGTGGTAGGAATTCGGTAAATGTTCTCCCTTTCCAGAGCTTTTTAGTCCTGTATGAAAAATGAGTTTCTCTTCTCAACTTGCCACTTATGAAACCATGTTTGGAACTGAGATTTGATGGCTTTGCAATGGCAGAGAAAATTTAAAACAAGGCCGTTGAAAATAAATCTTACATATGCTACAGTTAATTTAGAATCATAATTTAATACTGATGAAATAAAAGTTATGCTTGAAATTTTGTGATTCATTCTATGAAAAAAAGTTCAAGAAAGATATTTTTCCCTTATGTCTTTTTAATTTTTATTTTGAATAATATCATATTTACAGGAAATTGCCATTGTACAAAGATCCTCCTGTATATCCTTTATTCAAATGCACCAGTATTTAACTTCTTGCCATGTTTTTGTTTGCATTCTCTCTCTGTATGTGTATGCACGTAGACACACACGCGGTTGTTACTTTCTGAACTATTCGAGAGCAGTTTGCATGTGGCATGCCCCTCAGTAAGCTTCAGGGTGTATTTTATATTGAACATGGATATTCTCATACATGGCCACAATAGATTTGCCATTTCAGGACATTTTAAATTGATTTAATCGTTTATCTAACGTATAGTCTATATTCCAGTTTCATCAGTTGTAGTAGTAGTGGCCTTTGGAGCAATTCTTTTCGCCAGGTCAGGTTCCAGTTCAGACTCACACATTGCATTTTTTTGTCATCTCTTCAGTTATCTTTACTTAGGAACTGTCCCTCAGGCTCCCTTTGTCTTTCATGACATGACACTTTGTAGGATCCAAATCCTCAATTTAGGTTTGTCTCATATTCCTCAAGATTCATTACAGATGGTTCATTTTGACTAGGATTCTGCATAAGGCATATTGTGTTGTTCCAGACATGGTGTTTGGAAGCACGTGATGTCTGTTTGGCCCTTATTGGTGATGTTAATTTTGATTAGTCGGTCATGGTATTTTCTATTTCTCCACTACATAGTCACTTTTCTATTTTTGTAATTAATAAGTAATTCAAATCTATGCAGATATTCTGATCATCATCAGACCCCACCACCACCACCAGAATCATCCATTGATTGATTGTGGCTGAACCAAATTTTATTCTGATGATTGCAAAATATTGATGTTCTGATTCCATTTTTTTGTAATATTTATTAGTTGACATTCTATTATAAGAAAGAGCTTTCTCCTCTTCCCCATTTATTTATGGACTTAGATATTATCAACATGAGCTCATGGATTCTCATTTTATTCAGTGGATTAGAATCCATTGCTGTGCTTATTTATTTTGATACTCAGATTGCAGCAGATTTGGCCAATGCAAGCCCCTTCAGGCCTGCTCCGTGCCATTTTACATGGCCCATCGTTTTCTTGAGCACTTCCTTTCTGCCGTAAGATGTTTCAGGCTCATTCATACCTTCCCTGCCCCAGGCCTAGAATTAGCCATTTCTCCAAAGAACTCTAATTCCTTTTAGTGGAGAATGGTTTTTAGCAACCAGAATCTGAGTTGCACTTTTTAAATACTGCAATTCCTAAATTCTAGAAGGGTCAGCGGGGAGATTTTTGGAGACTAAAATCTGCTGTGAAAGCTCTACTTTTCCTTAAGTCGTTTGAACACTTGTGTTTTTGCTTCTTAGATCTGGGTAAAAATATTCTTGTAATCATACTCGGACTTACCAGTATATTTACTCACCACATATGTAGTTTTCTTAAAGTGGATCTTAAGGAATTGGAAATAAACAGCAGAGAGCCAGCCCTGATCGCCTAGTGGTTAAGTTCCGTGTGCTCTGCTTTGGTGGCCGGGATTCGGTTCCCGGGCGTGGAACCTCACCACTCAGCTGTCAGAAGTCACGCTGTGGCAGCGGTTCACACAGAAGAACCAGAAGAACTTACAACTACACAACTATGTACTGGGGCCTTGGGGGCGAAAAAGCAGAAAAAAGGAGGGAGATTGGCAACAGATGTTAGCTTAGGGTGCATCTTTCCTTGCAAAAAGAAAAGAATGAAATAGAAGAGATTGCCTCACTCTTGAAATTTTTTCAGTTGTTTATTTTCATATTTAATATTCATTGTAAATGAACAAATCCCATGCCATCTTTATAAATAAGTCTCAGCAAATGAGTCTAAGTAACAGGTAATTGTAAAAGCTGATCACAAGATACATATTTGTTTTTGTTCATAGTTCATTTCTATCTACTAGGACATCTGAAGTAACAAAACCTGCTTGTGAGTCTTTATGTTTTGATAGGGAGAATCTAAACAATTTTTACATGATTCACTATATACTAATATTAATCCACCGTCACAGACTGGACTGTGGTGGGCCCTAAAGTCACCCAGGTTGCAGACAGATGATTCCTACCTAATATTGTCTTCCCTTGTCTTAGCACTGTTGTGTTCCCCATAATATTCTTTTTCCTGTGCGGCATCAGTGTTGTTAACTTCCACCTTTCTATTTCTGCTGCGGAGATCATGGAATGGGTTTTGTACCTGATTAAGTGTAAGCAAATCTGTATAAGACCAGCACCTCTTTCAACCTCGTTCACAAGGAGCTTGTGGACGCTGATTTGTCCCCAGAGAACGGGCCAGCGACTCCTTTTTGGGACAAATTCTGAGAAATGGTGTCGCACGGGTGAGAGCTCTCTCTGAGGGATGGCTTTCTAATCTCCGTTTCTGTTTGTGATTAGAGCTGATGGGGGGGGTCAGGTTTCCTGATGGTTGACAACAGTGAGACCTTTGGTTCTCAAGGAGTGTGTTCTTTTCAGCTCAAACTGTTGAAGAGTCCTGCTTTCACACCCGGCACTGCTGACCACTTCTCTTTTCCCTTCTAGAAATGACGCTTCTCTCCTCCCAGTCTTCATCGCCGGTGGCCCCTTCTGGGTCTGTGTCCACTGAAAACCCCGAGCAGAGGATGCTGGAGAAGAGAGCCAAGGTGGCAGAAGAACTTCTTCAGACGGAGAGGGACTACATTCGGGATCTGGAGATGTGTATTGAGCGCGTCATGGTGCCCCTGCAGCAGGCCCAGGTCGGAGCCGTGGGGGAGCCTTAGCTTTGCCTTGAATGCGGTCCTCCAAGCCTGAAGTGTCAGGAAACGGGAGCGTTTACCACAAAGATTCATTGGGTTTGAAATAAAGGCAGTGACTGCTGCTCTTAATTCAAGGGTGTCATCACCTTAAGCCTTCAGCATCCTGTCACTTGGCAACTCCACTGATAACTCGCCAGACTTACTGCAATAGCTCCCAGGATGTCGCCTGTTTCTGTGGCTCCTGAAAACCGTTCCAGGGAATCTGGATTGTCACTTTACTGGGAAGTCTGTGCAATAATATAATGAAGTCTGGGGATGACGGGTTACCTGGCTCTAGAACCTTATTATGCTGTTTTTTGGGAAACCCTTACTAACATGTGTGTGTCCTCTTCTACACATGTGTATGGAACATGGTATTTTTCTAGATGCTGGAGACAAGAAAAAAGGTTAACAGTATCTGGAGATTTGCAGTCCTTATTGCTTGTTGCTTGACCTCCTGGGCTGGGCTTGGAGCGGTCACTCCCAAGAACCGCAGTAGGAAGTGGACGGTGCCAGCGGAATTGGGGTACTGGGTGGGAATTGTATCCCAGTGTAATTATAGACCAAACTGGTCCCACAGTCATGTCACTCAGGTAGTCGGGGAGCAGAGAGTAGTTGCATCCAGGTCAAAGGGTGGCACTAAAGAAAATGTAGAACGTTTCTGTTCTGGAAGTTTTGTGAGAGTGAGAGAAGATGACTTTGAGCGATTATGGTACCATCCTTGAAGAGATGTTGGGAATATGAATGATATGCCGTCAATTTCGTTTCCATCCATCTTTATGTTTTGTTTCCCTTTCTCAGGTACCAAACGTTGATTTCGAAGGACTTTTTGGAAATATGCAGATGGTGATTAAAGTCTCAAAGCAGTTACTGTCCGATCTGGAAGTCAGCGATGCTGTAGGTATGAGCTCTAGCCATTGTTTCAGAAGCAGCTCTCTCTCTCTTTTTTTTTTTTTAACTTCATGGGAGGGGGCAGGGGCAGAAGGGCTTGCTGGTACTGAGTATTTATGCCAGGAAAATGAAGTTTTAGTTACCTGGTTCAGAGGTCATTTGGCCCCCCACCTCTCCTTTTGTCTACAGCCTACTTTGAGGCAATAGAGGATGTTAGCAATAGAAGAAATTTTAGATGACATGTAGTACAATGTTTTTCAGGCTGACAGTTGCAGCCCATTAGAGGGTCATGAGATCCGTTTAATGGGTCGCATCTAGTATATATTTTTTCAATAAAACAGAAAAAACCAGAATGTACTGTAAATAATAACTGCAGTTTTTTTAAACTTTTCTTTCAATTCTCAGTACAGTCATGTGCCACATAAGGATGTTTTAGTCAGTGACACGCTGCATATATGATGGTGGTCCCATAAGATTAGAACCGTATAGCCTAGGTATGTAATGGGCTGTACCATCTAGGTTTGTGTTAGTGCACTCTATGATGTCTGCACAATGACAAAATTGCCTAACTGTACGTTTTTCAGAACGTATCCCTGTCGTTAAGTGACACGTGACTATATATATATATACTGAGTCATGATTTAAAATGTATTTGTTGGGGCCGGCCCCGTGGCCGAGTGGTTGAAGTTCTGTGCACTCCACTTTGGTGGCCTCGGTTTGCGGGTTCAGGTCCTGGGTGCGGACCTCCTCCACTCATCAGCCATGCTGTGGAGGCATCTCATGTACAAAGTAGAGGAAGATCGGCACAGATGATAGCTCAGGGCTAATCTTACACAAGCACACACACACACACACAGATGTATTCATGTGGGTCATTGTCAAAAATATTTGAACAACAATCATCCATTTCTTATAAACAAGGGAACTGTGTTATCTATTGCTATGTAACAAATTTTACGAAAACAGTATCTTAAAACAAGAAACATGTATTATATCACAGTTTCTGTGACTCAGGAGTCTGGGAGTGGCTTAGCTAGGTGATTCTGGCTCAGGGTCTCATGAGATTAGAGTCAAGCTGTGGTCTGGGCTGCCGTCCTCTGAGGCTCAAGGACCCACTTCAGAAAACTCACTCAGTTCTTCAGGCTCCAGCTCCTTGCTGTGTGAGCTTCCCTATGGGGTGTCCCCATGATATGGCATCTGGCTTTCCCCAGAGAGAGTGATCCAAGAGAGAGAAAGCTCAAGATGGGAGCCTTGTCTTCTATAACCTGATCTTGGATGTGACATACCATCACTTCTGCCATATTCTGTTGGTCGTACAGACCAACTCTGGTACCATGTGGGAGGAGACATCCTATCATTTTGCTATTATAATGGGATCCTAGTCACAAGATGCTACCACAGTTCTAGCCATCCCACTACACACATGAAAACATCCAGCAGAAGGAAAAGTGACCCTGTGTCATTTAAATGTGAGCAAACCTTTTCCAGTGCTCCCCCAGTAGATTTCTCTTTATTTCTCATGGGACCAGAACTGGGTCATGTGCAGACACTTGAACTGATCACTAGAAATGGGAATGGGATCATGCTATTGGCTTAGACCAGGCAGTATTTACCTGCCTCACCTGGGAGAGAAATGGACACAGGAACAGAATCGGGCTCTGCTCTCCTGAAGGAAGGGGGCTTTGGGGTGTTGGCTGAAAGTGCAACATGCTGATGTTTCTTGAGTGTTTCTTATACACCACACACCCTTTCAAATTGTGTCCAGCTTGATCTCAGTTGTTCCTCCTACAACCCTATGACGTTTTGGTGCTATTAATCTTACTTTACAGATGAGAAAACTGAGACTTACAGGGGGAAAGTAATTTGCCCAGCGGTCACAAGGCTAGTGATTGATAGGACTGACAGTCAGACTCAGGTCTCTCTGTCGTCTGTGTTCATGCTGTTAACCTCTATACAGAACAGCTGTCTGTCTCGCACTTGATGGGATGGTACGAGAAGCCGAAGCCTGGGTCCTGCTCTCAGTTTGACTGGGGAGGTCCAAGGTCGGGGAGATGGAGGGAGGCCAAGCACACATTGATTGACTACAAGGAAGCCATGGTGGCCCTATTTTAATAGAATGATAAAGCATAAAAGCCAATTTATAAGATTTTATGAGGCATTCAAAACAAGTATCTGTAGGTCATGTATTTGAATTATGAAAAACTTGAGAGAAATTGGTTGGTATCTGAAAGGGATTAATTATTAAACAATTAGTCATTTTTTCTTTCAATTTTTTTTATTACCTGCATATTATGGCAATAAAATAGGAAATTTAAAATATCCAGAACTTCACCCCCACGAGATATCAGCTGTTTATTTTTTCTTTGTCCCTTCCACTTCTTGTCCCAAGACAAAGAAGGAATTAAGTAGCAGCTTGAGATGTGTTGCGGGTGCGCAGAGGAGAGCAGAGGAGAGGTCTAGGAGCCGGAAGGCTCAGGACCTAGGCAGGAGGACTAGCTTTACGAAGGAGGGACAACACGCAGTGGCCGTGATGTGCGTGACATGAAGCCGAGATTGGGTGAGAGCCCTTTGCTGGGGCAGCTTCTGTCCTGGTCACCCAGGAGGCAAGAGAGTGCCTTTAATGGGGAATTGAAAGAGGGGAGATTTTGGACATCTGATAAGGGAAGGTTCTGAGAGGGCAGGGAAGGCAGATTAAAGCTTTGTTGAGCTACCAGCAGAGGGCTGATGGACGTGAATTGCATATGCAGTTATTTATTTTGGTTAAGTTTAGTTTATTTTAATACGTTTTAAATTTAACTTATTTTTAATACATTCACATGGTACACATTTAGGTGCAAAACTGTCCAGTGGAAAATCTCCTACCTGTTATCTAGCCACCCTGCTCTTTTCAACCAGAAGCAACCAATGTTACTAGTTTTTTTATATCTCCTTTCAGAGAGTTTATCATACATTAGTAATTACGTATATATTTTCTCTACTGTGCTGTCCCACCCCCATTTTTTTAATCACACAAATGGCATAATTCCAACTGCGCTAAGCATTTTTTCCCTCTCAACAGTGTGCCTTCCAAGCAGTGTCTGTGACCCAGGAATAGAAATGGAAAAAGTGTCCAGTGACGAGGATAACTCAGCAAAACTCAGAGTAATCTAGAGTTCTGGAGAAAGCAGCATTGAATTAACTAGTCCTTCTGGAGAAGGATTCTAGTACAGCCAGGACGGGTCTGGTGGGGAAGGAAAGAATGGTAGGTGTTAGAGCTTGAGTGAGTTAGAGATGAGGTTGAGATGAGAAAGACGTACAAGGAGACCGTGGATATGTAGTGATGTATAAGGACTGGCTTTTAAATTATTTTAAACACGTCCCACAGAAAGAAAAATATTTTACCTAATGACCCAGATACGTATGTGTGTATGTCTCTGCTTACTTTTACTATGTCCAATGTTTTCTGATGTTTTCTTTTCTGTTCCATTTTATTTACTCAAAAAAGTGCTGATCATGACCCGTGAAGTAGATTTCCTGACCCGTTTCTGGGTTGTGACCCACAGTTTGAAAGACGCTGGAAATGAGGTGTAGCTGTGCTAGTTTGTAGTTTCTGCGGGATAGTCACCGTCAGGGAGGTTGAAGGGCAGGGAATGGAGGAATGTGAACAGTCATCATTGTGTTAGCGCAGGTCCTAGGAATGCTGGCGGGGAGTGGGATGCCAAGGAATAAAGTACGAGAAGAAGGCAGGCAAACATCGGATGGTGAAACTAGATAAAGACGTTGGTGGCTCAGGGATTCCAGAGTAGCTCTGAAAGTCAAGGAGGAAGCCAGCCCTGCTGCCACCGCTGTGCCTGCCGGGTGGCAGGAGGAGACAAAAGTGAGCCCGCCAGTGAGACAGGGCAGCACGGGCGTGTGATGTTTATGAAAAAATCAAGTTTCTCTTACGAAAGGAGCTATAATTAAGGAAATACATTTAAGTAGAAACTGATCTGCACGAGCACGGAATTCCACAGGACACAAGGCAGAGGGAGCAGAAGTGACATTGTGGAGAAGAGGATGGGGCTCCGTGAGGGAAGGGACGTCTGCCCAGAGCCGCTGGTGGAAGTAGTTCCAGGGGAAGCAGTAAGGAGGGCCGCCTCAAGAGAGGAGCACACGGGCGAGAGGAGGTGTTCGGTGGAGCAGGACAAGCTGAGGGAAGGAAGGAAGGCCACGGGAAGAGGAGTTTCAACAAGCCGGGAGTCGGCACAACCAGGCAGTGGCTCAAAGTGAAATCGTTCTGTGGAAGTTTGCTGAGGGCTGTTCCTCTGCCTTTCTGGCCGTAGACCAGGGGTCTGGGTAGGTTTCATGGAGTCTGTGAATTTGCATAGAAATTTATTTTCATTAATTTCTAAGTGAAATTTAGCATTTATTTAAGGTATGGTTGTAGGGAAGAAAGCACACAGTGTTAGCAGCACCTGTGATGTTACTGACTGAAGTCACACGCTCGTGTCACATTAGGTTGTTGCAGATGTCTTGACATTTCAGGGACAACGTTACCAGTTTCATATGTCACTCATCATACTGTGTAATTATGGTGATTATTAGATTTATTGTTACGTTTTGCTATTTAGTGCTTTATAAAGAAGTACATATATCACAAATTTGGGGGTTTTATATTATAGATATTTTAATATAACTTCCTTTATAGTCCTATGTATTTGATTTATGCATAAAGGTTGGAAACTGCTGCTGTAGGAGGCTCTCCTCATCCTCGTGGAGATTTTCCTGGGGCTTAGAGAATCGGGGGTCCTTATGGGTTATGAATGCGAAGTGCTTACAAACACCTTACCTGCCTGACTGGAAAGGGATTAGAGGCTGTTTCAGGGATGTGTGTGTGTCTGTATGTATGTGTGTTTTCTGAAAAAGAAATACATGCATGACATGGTTCTCTTAAATTTTGCTTTAAATAAGTACAATTGTAAGCTATTACATGGAAATTTCTTATTAATTTGATGGATAGTCTTATCATTTCTTGTGACAGTTTTTAACTGATGTTAAACTTTGGTTATATACCTTACATTTAGGATACTGAGAAGAAAGTCACTAAAGACACTATATGTTTGTGCATATTTCAAAGGACCTGTGTTTCTTGATCACCGGGATGAGCTTGAGGGAACGTACAAGGTTTACTGCCAGAATCACGATGAGGCCATTTCACTGCTGGAAATCTACGAGAAGGACGAGAAGATCCAGAAGCATCTTCAAGAGTCCTTGGCAGATCTTAAGTAGGAGATTTGAGCACTTTACCTCCATCATAGCTCTTTAGTTCTGCCTTTTACAAGTCACTCCCATGTATATGTCTAGACTTCTTATGACATCTGTTTATCTTATTTTAAACATAAGTGATGTTTTATTATAGGCCCTGTTATGTAACTTGCCTTTTCCCCATTATATATCTTGAAAATCTTAAGTGGCTTCCTGCTTGTACTTTTATCTATAGATGGGAAGTATGAAATTAGCATGTTCAGGTAAGAAGCAGCCAGGAAGATAGTTTGGTCCAAATAAAGAAGAGTATAGGTGAGATTCATTCAGCTATTGTTGACCATCAGGCGAGACTCTCCTGGTGTCAGGGAGGCAGGTTATCAGGCTGTAATATGTGTCTAAGTAGATCGAAGTGAAGGTAGGGGCTTCCTAACTTTTTTTAATAGACTAGATATTCATAGACATTCATAATTTCCCTTTTATCCCATGGGACTTTTGTCTGCCCGACTAATAGGCGTTAGTTGAACTATGTTCTGAGAGGAATGTGAACATCAGCATGTCTCTAATCAGCTGTCCCTTCTTTCCCGCCCGCTGCGCTGTAGGAGCCTGTACAATGAATGGTAAGTTCCCGTGCCACTTGATGCACGAACTCATTTCTCTATTTTCCTTCTCTGTAGACAGAACCTACAAGTACACCTTCCTTGCCATGTTTTTCTCCATAGCACTTACCACAGAGAGGGCACCTGGTCTATTTTTGTTTATCTCCTGTCTCCTTCCCCCAGGGCAGCTCACTACTAAGCCCCCAGCACCTAGAACAGTGCCTGGCATTAGATACCCGGGAAGTATTTGTTGAAGGAGTGAAACTGGAAATAGGGTGAAAGAACAGAGCTGTATTTAGGAATGACAGATGCTCCCTATAGGCCCCGTATTCTTAATAGTTGACGAAAGGCTGTTTTTCCTTCTCTTATAGGGGATGTACAAATTATATTAACCTGGGCTCCTTCCTCATCAAACCAGTGCAGAGAGTAATGCGTTACCCACTGCTGCTGATGGAGTTGCTGAATTCCACCCCAGAATCCCACCCAGATAAAGTGCCTTTAACCAGTGCAGTCATTGCTGTCAAGGAAATCAATGTTAACATTAACGAGTATAAACGTCGAAAGGACCTGGGTAAGAAACGCGTGCTTGCTGAGAGGGAGGTATGCGCTTGGAAATGAGCTCCTTCAAAGAACTGGTTACTTCCCCAGAGTGGACAAGGCAGAGGGTAGGTAGAGGGCTGGGATGAAGAAACGGTAGTAGAATCGGGGAAATGTGACATGAAAAAGCAAAGCAGTAGTGATAATAAAAGCACAGCCATGGAGTATTGGAAATTAGGTGTCTGTGGTAAGGCTTAGAGCAATGAGTCCTTCGCAAGAGCCGTGAAGCCTGACTAGTGACTGGCTGTTCCGGATTGCTCCTTCAAGCATGGGTGGTTGCCTTCCCACCTCACTGCAGGCAGTCCTTTTCAGTCCGTGCTGAGATTTGTTTTCTCCACACATCTAGTTAGAGGTTTTACTGTCTCCACTTAAGACTTTTTGTCTTCTTTCAGAAAAGCCAATTTGCCCACATCTCTGGGTCCCCTCGGTCCTGCCCACGCCCAGTGACCTGCCTCTGGTCTGAGCTCCTCTCTCGCCCTCCCGACACTACAGTCAGTTGCCAGACCACCTTGTCTTTGTTTATAATGTAGAACAAACTGAACCATTTCTTGTCCCTTTCATCAATTGCCTCGTCGAGGCTCCAATTTGAGCACTCAGTGAGGTAGCAGGGTGCCTGTGCTAAATTGCTTTATTATTCATCTCCTGTAGATGAGAACCTGTAATACAGCATAACCTCTTTGCCTGTCTCCACGCTTTATCTAAAATCATTTTCTCGGCTTTCGCTTCCACCATGCACCCACGTTGAATGTAGCTTTGACTGTGGCTGTTAACTCTCCCTGCCATCCAGCCTGTTGTCTTGGTTCACGTCTCGTAATGTAACGTTGTCTTCATCTCCCACAACAATCAGGTGTGCCTTTTTGCTGCCGCATAACTGTCCCCTTGCTATCCTTCTACTGTTATCTCCAGACTTCTGCAGATTGTTCCTAAAGTATGACACGGTGTTTAATCAGATAACTCCTATATAGCATTTCACCGTATGACACAATTGGATACAAATATCTCATTTGTATGTGAGACCATTTAAGATGGTCTTATAAGGCAAGTACTGTTACCTTATACATTTTATTGGAGAGGAAAATGAGGCTCAGAGAAGTTAAGTGACGTGTTTAAGGCCTCACGTGGGTGAAATGACAGACCCAGGCATTGAACTCAGAGGTTTCCTTGACGTCAAATCTGAGGCTCTTTTTTTTTTTTCTTTTTTTTAAAGGTATGCTTTTTGGTGAGGAAGATTGACCCTGAACTAACAACTATTGACAATCTTCCTCTTTTTTTTTTTCCTCCCCAAAGTCCCAGTGCATAGTTGTATATCCTACTTGTAAGCCCTTCTAGTTCTTCCATGTGGGACGCTGGCACAGCATGGCGTGCTGAATGGTGCCATGTCCACGCCCAGGATCTGAACTGGTGAGCCCCAGGCTGCCGAAGCAGAGCGTGCAGACTTAACCACTCAGCCAGGGGGCCGGCCCCCTGAGGCTCTTTTCCTCACACCTCTGCTGCTTTTCCTCCTTGTCGGTAACCTTCTCCAGTCTGCGCAGTTCTCTCTCTGCCGTTCTTTGGGTGTTCTGTCTGTCCAGAAATGGTGATTTAGATGGATATTTTGTCTCTACTGTTACAAGCTCATTGGAAACGAGCACTACCTCTGGTCTCGGTTGTTAGCCTCATTTTCGTAGCTCGTTTTGTCATCTGTCCATGCTCAGAAAAGTGCTTACTTGACTCTCTCCCTAGTCCTCAAGTACCGAAAAGGTGATGAAGATAGCCTCATGGAGAAGATTTCCAAGCTGAACATCCACTCCATCATCAAGAAGTCCACCCGGGTCAGCAGTCACCTGAAGCACCTCACTGGCTTTGCCCCGCAGGTGAGGCTCCTGCGCTGCGGGCCCGGCGCGGCCGTGGCGTCCTTCAGGCTCCCCGGGGCAGCCGGCGGGGTGGGGCTGGCATGGTTCCCCTCTCAGTGGCTCCTCGTGTTGCCAGCTGGTGGGTACAGGACCTGCAGCTCCTGTTTATGTGAATCTACCCACTCAGCCCTCCATCCGGGTTGGTGAGCTGCTTACAGTGTGGACAAGGCAAACCAGGAGGCCAGATCGGTCACTACATGATAGCCATTGTGGTTTTAGGTATCCATATGGAGCTTATGATCTATGTGGGGAGACAAAATTAAAACTGTAGACCTACTAAGCTAGAAGGGATTGAAGAGATTACTGGAGTTCAACACCATCTGTCACAAATACAGAAATGTGATGTGTAAGAAGTTGAAATGTGATGTGTAAGAAGTTGAGTGATTTGAAAAGTGGTTTATCGACAGTGCTGAGAGTAGATCTGAGGTCTCCAGACTTCATTCCACTATGTCACGTCTACACAGTACGATTAGTGGAGAGTACCAGCTAAAAAAAGAACCAGTCTGTAGGTTTTGGCGTTTTTTCTCTGAACGCTGTAGCCTTAAGAAAACGGACTCAGTGAGAGTGAGCTTTGTGTCGGTGAGAGATTGAATCTGAGCCTTAAAGAGGCAGGTTTGGCACAGGGAGAGGGGAGGGCATACCAGGCCAAGTAACAGGATGAGCGAAGGCACCGGGATCAACAACAGTGCGGGCACTGGGAACAGTGAAGGGGGCAGCCTGGCCAGAGCACAGGGTTTCCATCAGGAGCAGAGGCAGTAAGGTGTGAAGGCGGGAGGGCATGTATGTATTTTGCTGATCTTTCAAAGCCACACAGGGCTGTTTAAATTCAATTCAGTATGATTCAGGGGCGTAGCAAAGGTTAAAATTTAAACAAAAGGGGGCCGGGCCTAGTGGCATAGTGGTTAAGTTTGCACACTCCACTTTGGCACCCCAGGATTCAAGGCTTCTGATCTCAGGCTCGGAGCTGCACACCACTCGTCAGTCCACACTGTGGCGGTGTCCCACGTATAGAGCAGAAGAAGATTGGCACAGATGTTAGCTCAGGGGCAATCTTCCTCAGCAAAAAATGAAAATTTGAACAAAAGATATTTTTAAGAAAAGTACTTTTGCCCATAAGATAGATTGAGGGAGAGTTCAAATCTACTAACAGCACTTGTTTATTTTGTTAGATATAAACAACTTTTTTGTTTCTTTTGACCAGATAAAAGATGAAGCATTTGAAGAAACAGAAAAGAACTTCCGGATGCAAGAAAGATTGATCAAATCTTTTATCCGAGACCTGTCTCTCTACCTCCAGCATATCCGGGTGAGCAAAGATGTCGCTCTAGTTGAGTCACACGGGGTAATTCTGTCCGCTTTCTGGTTCATCCAGCATATCGTTAATGAGTGTTGAATAATCCAGACTCAGATGACCATTATGCCATGACGTTCTTTTTATTGGGATTCCTACAGGTTATTTAAAAGTTAAATAACATTTAGAAGATCAGGACTGTTATATTAATTTTAAAGTGGCCTCGCTCTTTCCTCCCTCTCTTTTAATCTTCATCACTCTTTTTTTCCCTGCCACCTTATTTTTTGCTGTCCGCTCTATCCAATAATATAAGAAGCACTTGTCACAGGTCATTTTGTCAAAATCATTTTTTTTTTTGTGAGGAAGATTGGCCCTGAGCAATATCTGTGCCAATCGTCCTCCACATTGTATGTGAGACTCTGCCTCTGCACAGCTTGATGAGTGGTATGCGGCCTGCGCCCAGGATCAGAACCCACGAACCCCAGGCTGCTGAAGCGGAGAGCATGAACTTAACCACTACTCTACCGGACCAGCCCCTGTCAAAATCATTTTGAAGATCAAATCATAAGAGAGTGGTTCCTGTGGTGGAGTGCTTTCTAATAAGAATATTATTTCCAACTCAGTTAGTTGCTATCCACAAGGCCTCTAAGGACAGTGAACAAGTCAGGAGAGCTGGAGGAGTTCAGGAGACAGGGTGGGCCCAGGTCTTCGCTGCCCCGGGCCGTGTTTCCTTCATGAAGTCACAACCAGGACTGATCTCCTTCCTGGTCATGTCTATGATTTCTCTCTTGAGTGATAGGAGGGGGTTTAAGATTACCTCACACATCATGATCTCATCCTATGAAACAAAAAATAATTTCTTCAGAAGAGATCCTTTGCTTTTTAAAAAATCATTTATTTTTATTGTTATTTTTTTTATCTAAGTAAAATGGTACAAAATTCAAAAGGTAGCAAAGGGATAAGTAAAAATAATTGTTCCTCTTACTCCTGTCTCCTGGTCATCTGAAGAAGCAGTCACCATTGATCAGAATCTTCTCTCCTATCGGGGGGCGGGGTGTGTGTGTGTGAGAGAGAGAGAGTGTGTGAGATACACTGCTGAGCATCTTGGGTTTTGCACTTAGTAGCATTTTGGAAGTCATTCCTTACGTGCACGCACACAGCTGCCATGTTCTTTTTTACAACTGCACAGTATTTAACTGTATGGATGCGCCATAATATATCTAATTCCCTGTTGATGGACATTTGATTGTTTATAGTTGCAAAAGATTAGAAACATTGGCACAAGGAATATCCATGTAGATACGTCATTTTCTCATCTATGTGAGGATATCTGAAAGCCAGAGTACTGGATTTTCTGAACCAAATCATGTGAAAGTGTAAATTTTGATAGATGTTAAATTTCATAGATGTCCTACCGGTGAAAACTCCCATGAGCAGCGTATGGAGTGAGTTCCCTGTCCCTTGCTCACACAGTGTTATCAAAATCAAGATGTCTTATCTTTGTCTGCAAGATAGGTAAAAAATGCTCTTTAGTATGGTTTAAATTTGCGTTTCTTATATTATGAAGGAAGTTGAGGATATTTTCATGTGTTTAAGTCATTACATTTCTTTTTCTGTGAGTTTTCTATATTTTGGGCACTTATTTATTGATTCGTTGGTCTTTTTCTTATTGATTTGTGGTACCTCTGTAACTGTTGGAGACAATAGCCCTTTGTCTGAGATGAAGGTTTACAAATATCCCACTCACCCACCCCTAGTTTGTTGACTTTTGAGTTTGCTTAAAATTTTTTTCATGTAGAAAAGTTTTATTTTTTTTTTTTAAGATTTTATTTTTTCCTTTTTCTCCCCAAAGCCCCCTGGTACATAGTTGTATATTCTTCAATGTGGGTCCTTCTAGTTGTGGCATGTGGGACGCTGCCTCAGCGTGGTTTGATGAGCAGTGTCATGTCCGCGCCCAGGATTCGAACTAATGGAACACTGGGCCGCCTGCAGCAGAGCGCGCGAACTTAACCGCTCGGCCACGGGGCCAGCCCCCAGAAAAGTTTTATTTTTGTGTAGTCTAATTGAACTTTTCTTTTATAGCTTCTTAGTTCTGTGTCATACTTTAAAAGGTCTTATCTATTCCAAGATAATAAAATAAATATCTCCCATGTTTCAATAGATTTTTTTTTAAAGATTTTATTTTTCCTTTTTCTCCCCAAAGCCCCCCGGTACATAGTTGTATATTCTTCATTGTGGGTCCTTCTAGTTGTGGCATGTGGGATGCCGCCTCAGCGTGGCTTGACGAGTGGTGCCATGTCCGTGCCCAGGACCTGAACCAGTGAAACCCTGGGCTGCTGCAGCAGAGCACGTGAACTTAACCACTTGGCCACGGGGCTGGCCTCTCAATATTTTTATAATTTCAGTTTTTTTAATGTTAAAGTTGTTGATCTAGGTGGAATTTACTTTAATATATAAAGTTTGAGGTGTGGATCCAACTTTTTTTTCCCCCAAGCAGTTATCCAGTTGTCATCATCATCTATTGAGTAATCCCCACTAATTTGAATTGCCCCCTACATTTCTTTTAAATAGCAAACTCTCTCCTTTGTGTTTTAAAAATGCTTTTCAGTAAAAATTAGGGTTTACAAAACTTTTCAGGAGCACACTGGCTTAAAGTGAGAGATTTAACAAAAACAATATTGAGACAACTCCCAAGTATGTTCCCTTGTTTTAGGTCTTTCCCCTACAATTCCTTTAATCTTGATACCTCCCTGTTGGCTGTTTTCTCCCCATGTTTTCAGGTGTAGCAAGTATACACCTGAGCCCCCAGCTGTTACAAGGCTCATCTCCATAGCAGTGGGTGATAGCGTTTTAAGGTGGGACATATGTAGCATTGACAGCCTTTTGACGGGCAGGTCAGTTTTGTTCTGATGCTAACAGTGGAAATTAAGAAAGAAAATGTTGAACGGTTTCATCACTGACATAAAAAATGAAAAACCCTGCCAAATAATAGAATTAGGTAGATGGACTGGTAGAGAGAGGGTCAGCAAGAATACAGCTGAGGGACGCTGACTGCCTCAATTGGTATCCATGTTGGCGTGTGGACTGACATCTGGGACTTTACAGCATTTCTTTAACAGAGTACAAGAGGACATCATGTTTCACATTAGTTCTCCCACTTGGGAGGAATCAGGAAGATTCCCCAATTTGTCCTTCCAACTGGCTTTATCTCTATGTACAGATATGGGACTTAAAGGCAACAGGTCTAAAAATGTCATAAAATCAAATCTCAAACCGATGTATGAGGCACTGATGTTTTGGGCTTAGCGACTTTGTTTAACCTTGAAATAATATTAATGGAGTTTTTAGCACCTTTAGATTTTGTTTGGGCTAATATCAAAATAATAGGCATTCCCTAAACTTAAACTAAAGACAACGAAAACCCAGCATTGTTCCAAGTAGCCAAAGAAAACCAGCCTGGGATTTAAAAACTGTCAGGGATCCGGCCCCGTGGCTGAGTGGTTAAAATTCCACATGCTCCACTTCAGCTTCATTGGTTCAAATCCCAGGCACAGACCTACTCCACTCACTGGCCATGCCACGGTGGTGACCCACACACAAAATAGAGGAGGATTGACACAGACATTAGCTCAGGGCTGGTCTTCCTCAAGCGAAAAAAAAAGAGGAGGGTTGGCAACAAATATTATTAATGCTCAGGGCAAATCTTCCTCAGCAAAAAATTTTAAAAAACCATCGGGATCAGTCAGGAGGAGTTTCCTCTGCATTCCGTTATTTTTTTCAGCAAATGGTAAGTGAGTCAGTGAACAAAACAGACAAAAATCACTGCCTTCACGGAGCTTACATTTTATTGTGGGCATAGGAGACAATAAACCATAAATTATATTGTCTGTTAGAAGGTATGTTTTGCAGTGACAGAGGAAGAAGCAGGTCAGCCGTCAGGAGTGCCAGATTCGGGCTGCAGGAAGCAGGGCTGTACTACGCACAGGGCAGTGGGCAGCTGTCTTTGAGAAGGTGCCAGCATAAGCCAAGACCTGGAGAAGGAGAGGTCATTGTTCGTTGTCCTCATCCTGTAGGAATCATCTTGGCTCTAGTTTGATAATTTACTTTTTTTTTTTAAAGATTTTTTTTTTCCTTTTTCTCCCCAAAGCCCCCCAGTACATAGTTGTATATTCTTTGTTGTGGGTCCTTCTAGTTGTGGCATGTGGGACGCTGCCTCAGCGTGGTTTGATGAGCAATGCCATGTCCGCGCCCAGGATTCGAATCAACGAAACACTGGGCCGCCTGCAGCGGAGTGCGCAAACTTAACCACTCGGCCACGGGGCCAGCCCCTGATCATTTACTTTTTGATGAATTAAGGGACATAGGAAAATACTAAAGAGAGGATAAAAGGCCCCACCAGTTTTCCAATAATTAAAAGTCTTAGACTTTTCTCTGCACCCCATGAATGATAGTGTATGAGAATATACTTGTTTCAAAGCTGAAATACACTAGAGAGAAGATTTTAATTATGGGACCTTTTGTTCCAGACTGCTTTCTCAGCTGAAGGGTGAAGGCTAGGAAGTTCTCTTGGAGCTTACTTACCATGTTTGTTTCTAACTGGCTCCAGGAATCGGCATGTGTGAAAGTGGTGGCTGCAGTGAGCATGTGGGACGTGTGCATGGAGAAGGGACACAAAGACCTGGAACAGTTCGAGAAGGTGCATCGCTACATCAGCGACCAGCTCTTCACAAACTTCGTAAGTCACCTTTCTTGAACCTGCTTTTCATGGGTCGGCCCTCTTCCCGGCCTTCTCTCTCACATCCAGCTCATGGAAGGGTTAGTTCCACAGAGACGTGCTCCCTGGCCGGAGTCCTGCTCGTCCTCCAACTAGATTCGTATCAGGGTCTTATGTTCAGAATGTGACTTTGAGTCAGTCAAAAGGACAGGTGCAACCTGTGTCTATTCAAACAGATTTTTTACAGCTTCTGATCAGCCTTGTTTCGGGGGACAGTGTAAAACTAGGAAATTTAATCTGCTATCACTCCGATCGAATAACTCTGATCAAAAGAAAACAACTATAGGAGTAATAACTTAAAAAGGAAAATTTAGGAATAGTTAGGTTAGTAAATAGATCTGTGAGATGGTACAAACCACCTTATAAAGAAAGCACTAAAGGCCCAATTGATTGGGAAATTCTGGTTAGATGTGTATGAGATTGCTTGATGCCGGGAGAACTGGGTGGGGTTTGACAGTCTCGGGAGATCCCTGGATGGCCTGAGGCTGAAGGAAACATGCACCCTTAGGGAATTGTAGTAGGATCTTGTTTTTAATAATTTACCGAGTACCGATGTATGTCCTTTATGTGTCAATACCGTGCCCTCCATGTCTATCCCCCTAGAAAGAATTAAAGAGAAAAATCCTTTGAAAAGTGAAAACAGATATTAGCAAGTAGTTATGATTGAAAGAGGTATGATGGACGTGCAGAAGTTTCACTACCCTAGATTTATGTAACAACCAAATCTTAAGTGAAATTCAAGCTATATATAGACACATACACATAAGAAGTGATACTGACAGTGTCACATCTGGGTTATAATGAAAACACATTAATGTGTGTAATTGAGCATTTGTTTTCAACTATGGAGCTAAGGTGGGATTAGCGTATTTTGCAAACTCTTTGGTGTGTGCAGATTTGTTGAGTGAAAAGTTGCGAATGGAGAAGTTTTGTGGAATATGTACATACACTGGTGATGGATAAGGACAACGCTGTTGGCTCTGCATGGGGTTAGCTTGTGCACTAGGAGCAAAGCAGGTGGTAGAGAACACAAAAAATCACTCTGAAGACTATTTTGAGAGTAACAAATATGGGAAACTGACCAACTGAGCAACGTGCCTTTCTCGTCCCTACAGAAGGAGAGGACAGAGCGGCTTGTCATCTCTCCCCTCACCCAGTTGCTGAGCATGTTTACAGGGCCCCACAAGCTGGTGCAGAAACGCTTCGACAAGCTGCTGGACTTCTATAATTGCACGGAGCGGGCAGAGAAGTTGAAGGACAGGAAGACTCTGGAGGAGCTGCAGTCGGCCCGGAACAACTACGAGGCCCTGAACGCCCAGCTGCTGGACGAGCTGCCCAAGTTCCACCAGTTCGCCCAGGGCCTCTTCACCAACTGCATCCACGGCTACGCGGAGGCCCACTGCGACTTCGTGCGCCAGGCTCTGGAGCAGTTAAAGCCGCTGCTTTCAGTGAGTCCCGTAGGCCCTGTGGAGAAGTCGTCTCTGAGGTTCTGGTATTTTTCTGGGAATGCACAGTAGGGTCATTCGAGAAATTGTTCAAACCAGAGAGATGAAATGTCATTAGGTCAAGCCTGTCAGGAATTGGAATTCCTGATCCCTTGGGTGGTGCTGTGACCCCTGGGGCTTTTAAACTTAGGTCCTCCCCCTGCTGAGCGGTCCCCAGAAGAGCCGCCCCTCGGGGAGCTTTGTCCCTGGCGTCAGGCTGAGGTGTTGGGCACTCACGGAGTGAACTGCAGCTTCTGGTGGTTGTAACGAGACTGTCGGTCCCGGCATCCCATGCGAGCTCTCTTCTTTCCCCTCTCTCTGCTCTTCCCCGGGCTCCAGTTACTTAAAGCCGCCGGCAGGGAGGGCAACCTCATCGCCATCTTCCATGAGGAGCACAGCAGAGTCCTGCAGCAGCTCCAGGTTTTCACCTTCTTCCCAGAGTCCCTTCCGGCCACCAAGAGGCCGTTTGAGAGGAAAACTGTGGACCGCCAGTCTGCCCGAAAGCTGCTCCTGGGCATGGTGAGTAGAGGACGAGAGTAGGTCGTACGGCCTCGGGGTTAAGACTGAACTCTGCTGCTAGATGGCCTGGGTTGAGATCCCGGTTCTGGCACTTCTCACTGTGTGTCCTTGAGAAAGTCACTTCCCCTCTGTGCCTTGTTTTCCTCATCTTTAAAACACGTAATAGGTATATCCACATCATGGAGTTATTGTGAGGTTTAAATGAGTTAATCAGTGTAAAGCACTTGGAAATTGCCTGGCACATAGTAAGCAGTATTCAAGTAAGCTATCAACATCATTGATATTATTATTAATATTGACAGACCCAGCTCTGTCTCTACAGATTAGCAATTTAATAGGAGCTTAAGTATTTTATAATAGAGAATAAAGGTTATTGAGTTCTCTCTGTCATGGGCTCACTCATTCATTCACCGAGCATTAGTATGCCTACTGGTACTGGATAGTGACTGCCTCTAGTTTTCCCACACTTGATATGTACTTCAAAATGCCCTTTGAGGGGCCAGCCTGGTGGCGCAGCGGTTAAGTTCACACGTTCCGCTTCTCGGCGGCCCAGGGTTCGCTGGTTCAGATCCTGGGTGCAGACGTGGCACCGCTTGGCAAAAGCCATGCTGTGGTAGGCATCCCACGTATAAAGTAGAGGAAGATGGGCATGGATGTTAGCTCAGGGCCAGTCTTCCTCAGCAAAAAGAGGAGGATTGGCAGTAGTTAGCTCAGGGCTAATCTTCCTCAAAAAAAAAATTTTTTTAAATGCCCTCTGAAAAGCATTCTTGGATCTTAGTCTATACAGTGAAAGGAGTTAGTAAAGGATTAATATTAATACTTTGATCAATTAAGGGAGCTGATTTGAGAGTATACTAAAGTCCTATTTTTGATCATGCATTAGGAAAGATAATTGTCTGCTACACTGCCGAACAGTTCATGGCTGACTGCTTTTTTACCTGGAGTTACATTTTTCTTTAACTCAATTCCTCCATATTTTGAAAAGTAGAGTAAGATACACCAGATTATATGGGGTCGTAATCTAAAAGGCTGCTGACTCGTCTTTGCTTACAATATTTTGCCTCTTATAATCGTATGTTTGTTAATATATATTACTTTGAAAGAGAATCAAATTCATTATTACTTGTACTTTTTCTTATTTTTATGAATATTGTTTGTTTTTATAAACTGGGAAGTCAAGGTAAGGAAAATCGCAGTTGTTGAGGTTCGTATAGCGAGATAGCAGACCTGGTAATGATACTTACATATTTTGATGCTTTAGGTGGCACTTGAATTACATTTTTTTGTCACAGGATAACTAGGTGTTTGTTAAATTTTGTTAATAGCTACAAAGCCACCAAAACATGACCTAAGAGATGAGGATTTTCACCCAGCCACGTGGACTGACTCAGGCACAGAAACACCTATTGGGAGGAGCCAGCGGCTGGCTGGCGTTGCCCCCATTTCTGGGGCTCTGGCTGTGTCGGGACAGAGTATGGCTGCTGGGATAATGGCCAGGGAGGTTCTTGCTGACTGTCTCTCTCCTGTTGCCTTTCAGCCAAGTTACATGCTGCAGTCGGAGGAGCTCCGTGCCTCCCTCCTGGCGAGGTATCCCCCTGAGAAACTCTACCAGGCGGAACGGAACTTCAACGCTGCTCAGGAGTTGGACGTCTCACTTCTGGAGGGCGACCTGGTGGGCGTGATCAAAAAGAAGGACCCCATGGGCAGTCAGAGCCGCTGGCTCATCGACAATGGAGGTCAGACTGTTAGCCGTCAGATTACTGTAACTCTAAAGGAGGGAAAAGTGCCTGCATCCTATCTAGGCCAGAAAAAAATACGAGAGTCTTTGATTAAAGGGAAAAATAACCTTAAAAGTTCCATCCATCTCTAGAGACTGTCATTACTGAGATAAAACCTGTGTTTGGTTTTGTTTTTGTTTTTACAAATTCCAGAGGAGATTCCATTGCTTCTCTTGCAAGATTTCGCCGTGTTTTTCAGCTGTGCAGGCAGGGGGCCGCCTCGTGGGTCCCGTGCCCTGTCAGCCTATCCTGAGAGAACCACAAGCCAGTTGCCCTCTTCTAGCTGCTGTAGATGGGTTTTGTGAGTGTGGGAATGTAAAATCTGTAAGAAAGGGTTTTTTGTTTGCTATTTAGGGAACGACTTCAAAAATGCTCCAATTTTTTTTTTTCCTGGCAGTGGAGGGAGGGGCACAGAATTGAAAGGGAAGCACAGAGAATAATACTGATCCATAATCCGTTTTCCACAATTCCAACATTCGAAAAGCTCTGGAAAACAAAGGTTTTGTTTCGAAACTCCTTTGCCAAACCTGCCCTCATCTGAATTGATTTGGTGGCAAAATGAGCAAAGTAATGGGAGACTGTTTCTGCTCATCCCTCATCCTCTGGTGTGAATGGCCAGAGGTTTTGCTACAGACGCATTAGTGGGTTTGACTCTGGGCTGTTGACCCACACCCTGCTGCGATGTTATGAAATATATAGTGCGTGTACTTGCTTACCTTTCCAAAGTACAAAAAATCTGAATTCCAAAACGCATCTGGCCCTCCGTGTTTTAGATAGGATGACAGGCCTGTACAATAAACATCTATGTTCACACCGCCCAAAACTGAAAATTTTAACATTTCTCCATTTCTTTAAAAGTATTTTCTGGGTGTTTCTCTCCTCCCCTTACTTCTGGTTACCCAAAATAATAAAGATTGGAAGTGGGAAAGGAAGGAGAAGGATGGAGCCTCCCAGGGTGATGGGCAGGTGAGAGGTGCTGACGGGTTCCTCGAGGACCTCCTGCAGAGTCCAGGCTGCTCAAGAGCTCTTCCGCCCTGGGGTCTTTCTCTCCCCATCCTGACAAGTAGCGTGGTAGCAAGAAGCCCACAGTATTAGGATCAGCTGGTAGACCCTCACCCCTCGTCATCTGCCCAGGGGACCCCTCCCCATCAGCAGCAGATATAACAAATGCAGGCCAGCATTTTTTTAGGTACAGGAAATACATCGAAGATCAAGACAGAGATGGCGCTTGCCTGCATGGAGATCGTTAACATTCTCTGGGTCCCTCCCTTGACAGATATTTCTTTCTTAATATTATAAAAAATATTGCTGTGCATTAGGGCTCTCAATCCCTAATGTAAGGTTATGTAAAGTTTTGGCCGGGGGCCCTCTCTGTCATCATCTTAGGCAGTTTATTAAAGTGAACGCACGATGCCCTGTGTTACGGTGTATGTTCTAACTGATACAAGCAGCTTCCCACTTTAGACGATCCTCATAGTATTTCCACCGCATTCCTAAACTACAGGCGGAGATTGGAGTGTTACGGGAGGGGAAGGGGACAGGGAGGTGTGTCTGAGCCGCTGTGGCGCGATGAGGACGGTTTAAAGCCCCCTTTACCCACCTGGCGTGTTTGCACACATCCTGAGTGAAGTCTTCCCTTGTCCTTGGGTTCCATGATCTAGATTTCCCATTGCGTTTTCTTCATGTGCTCCTTCTCCAGCATGTGGTCATTTTAATTCCCGTCCTCTGGATTCACCACAAGGCCTCCTTATCGCTTATCTCCTCTGAGGTTGTAACGAGAATGAGCCAGCACGTAGCCACAGTGTTTCCTCTCTGCCCACCCACGTCGTGTCCTGGGAGTGAATGTTTAATCTGCTCTGTCACTAGCATTTCACTTTGCGTCTCTCACTATCGACTTTCTTTTAAACCATCGTTTCTTCTCTGTAGATTCCCTCCTCCCTCCCTCCCTCCCTCCTCCCCCCACTGAAGGCTCTTCCTGTCTGTGCTTCCTTCCCGCAGTTACCAAAGGCTTCGTGTACAGCTCCTTCCTGAAGCCCTACAACGCCCGCCGCAGCCACTCCGACGTCTCCGTGGGCAGCCACTCCTCCACCGAGTCAGAGCACAGCGGCTCCTCCCCCAGGTCCCCACGGCAGAACAGCAACAGCACCTTGACCTTCAACCCCAGCGGCATGGCTGTGTCCTTTACCTCAGGGCCTTGCCAGAAACAGCCTCAAGACACATCTTCACTGAAGGAATTTGACCAAGGAGCTCTCAGTGCCTCCTTACACCTGGGTAGTTCAGAGAGCAGTCCTTGCAGATGCCCTTCAGACCCAGACTTCCCCGCCCAGCTGAGGCCCTGGGACTCTGCGGATGGGGCCCGTGACGTAAGCCAGCCCGCCCCCACCCTGAGGAGCTGCCGAAACTCCAGGCCCCCAGAAATGGTCGGTTACTCCACGCCAGGGCGAAACGGGCAGGGTAAGGACCCCGTAAAAGGATGTGCAAGGACAGCTCAGTCTCTGGAAAACAAAAACGAAGAGCTGGAAAGCAGTGAGGCGGAAGGGAACCAGGTGAGTGCTGCCTGGTCACCCTGAGGAACAGGTGGCCAGTGTGTTGTGGGTCGGATGATGCTCCTCTTGGAGGGGACGAGTCAGAGGCTTGCCTGGGGCTTGGGGGCCCTGGAGAGGAGCTCACAGACAAATTTTGTAAAGCACACCTGGAAACTCAGTGCCATAAGAGCGAGCAGCTCAGCACCTGAGCGCCCTCCGTGGCCGACTCTTCACTGGCTCTTTCTGGGCCCCTTCTGCTGCGTCCTGGCGCATTGACAACGTGTTATAATGAAAACTTTTTCCTGTATTCCACTTCACTAATTCCTCAGTTGTATGAAGTCTGCTGTTTAACCCATTATTTAGTTTTTTATTCAAAAACCATATTTTTATTTCTAGAATTTAGAAATAAAATTCTGGCTCTGTTTTGGTATCTCCTATTCTTTTTGTAATGGCTTGTTCTTGTCTTGGGAACCTGAAATAGCCTTTGTATCCTGAACATTTGAAACCTCCATGTGTTAAAGCCACTTTCCGATGCACAGCTGAGAAACACCTCGCTCACCGCTTGGGGCCTTTGCTTGCCTGCAGCCGTGAGCGTCTGTGTGCTTTGTAACCTTTGTCTGTGAGCTCATCTTCACCAGGGGTGGCCTTTGTTGAGAGACTCAGTCATGTCCTGGGTTGTGGAGGTGTTTGCCTCTGCCAAGCTCCAGATTCTGAAAGACCAGTTTTCACACAAGTTTCTCAGCCCAGACCTTCCGATACCACATTCCTCAGGGCTGCTGATGAGCGTGGTGTGTGCCTGTTTCTCTCTGGTGAATCTGTTACTACCCACTGCCCAGCACAGACATCCCCAGTCCAGACATTCTGGACCCCCCAGTGGACAGTTTTTCTCGACGTGTTGAGGGAGGAAATGGCCCTTTCTTAGAGTCTGACTGTGCAGAAAGCTCAGTTCTGGCCTCATTAACTCCTGCCCCTGACCAGGTCCTAAAACCCCAGCCCTCGGGTGTGTGGTTCATCCTCGTGCCCCCTGGCCCTCATGGCTTCCTCTGATCATGGAGCACCATCCTTGCTTTGCGTTATATCTTAGGATAATCTCTAGGTGCCAATAACTTTCTTGCTTTGAGGTTAGTTGTATATTTTTTTAAGTTTTTGAAATTCAGAATTTCTGTGTTTGGGGTATGGAAGGATATCCTTGTATCTCATCTACCGTCCATATTGACTGAAGCTTCCTTCTTCCACTCCTTAAGGCAACTCTGAAAGAGTAAAAAGATGTAAATTTTGGTTTTCTTTGAATTTGCCCTATCCATTATGGGAGCACCAGCCATATCTGGCTATTTAAGTTAGTTAAAATTAAATAAAATGAAAATTAAGTTCCTCTGTCTCACTAGCCACTTTTCAAGTGCTCAATAGCCACGTGTGGCTGGGGGCTGCCATATTGGATGATGCAGATAGAGACCATCCCCATCCTCTCAAGAAGTTCTGTTGGACAGTTCTCCTGCTCCAGCAGTTTCCCATTTCCTAATTCATTGTCTCTCTCACACAGGTCTATTTTGCTGTCTATTCCTTCAAGGCACGGAACCCAAATGAGCTGAGTGTGTCAGCCAATCAGAGACTCAAGATCCTGGAGTTTAAAGATGTTATGGGAAATACGGAGTGGTGGTTAGCTGAAGTTAATGGGAAGAAGGGCTATGTTCCATCCAATTATATCCGCAAAGCTGAGTACACCTGAACCTGTCCTGCCTCCCCCTCAACCTTGCTGCCTTCACTTCCTTCTGCTGAAGGGTTCTGGTGGTCCACCGAGAGGGCACCTGCCCCAGAGACATAGGTCCTGTCAGTGTTGCTTAACCATGCCACAGCGGGGCACGAGGTGTCTTGTTCTCCTCCGTTGGGTTGTCAACCTTGATGCTCACTAGAATTTTTAGAATTTGAAATGGATCCTTTGGCTTGCAAATGATTCAGTGACCATGAGAAGAGGGGCCAAGTCTGGGGTCAGCCTTTGGAAATGTGAAATTTCCAATCAGAAGAACAGTATCTTATATAAGCTCGAAGCTGTGCTATAGTGTTAGAAGATGTTGGCGTTGGTTGTCCAGCACCGAGTTTGGGGTGGCCCCATGCTCCACAGTCAGCTGACCAGAAACTGACTTGGTTGAAGAGAATCCTCTGGGAGCCCTTTAGGCTGTGCCTGTGCGTGTGGCAAGGAGTTTGTTGAGACTGTACCAAATCTGGTGTTTCACATTGAAGCTTCAGTGTCCAGCAAACATACACACACACCCATCCCTAATTTCTAAAAGCCCCTAAAGCACTGCCATCTGTAATCTTTTTCTTATTTCACTGCATTTCCAGATTGGTTACACAAAATTCAACTGCTTTCTCTCTCCTTTTAGAAAGCATTTATGGTCTTTATTTTCCTTCAACCTTCATCTGACTCTTCCCTGTTAGGTGCAGCCATCTCCACCACCCTGACAGTCTGGGCATCCTCCTGTCTCCTGGCCCTCTCTCCTGCAGCTCAGTGACTGACCGATTTTCCTAGAACAGGATCAGAGCTCCAGCCATTCCATTAAAAGGATTCGTTCAGCAAAGAGCTGAAACCAGTGCAGCCTGATGGAGGACCGGATGCCTCTCCCCTTTTCCAAGCACACTGCCATCCACAGATGCAGAAATTTGAGTGAGGGTGAGCAGTCCCAGAAGTCGCTGATCCCAGACTTGGAAATAAGCATTTTCTGTTTCACACCAAGCTCCATGCTTCTGAGACAGAGCGTAGTCGAAGCCAAACAGATTCTAAAGTGCCTGACCGTACCTCCCTCCGGCCTCAGGGGGATACCTGCTCATCCTCACACTAAGAATCTCCCCCTGCAGGTTCTACCTGAGCAGGGCTTTCATTCTTAAGGTCTGCCCCAGATAGGAAGCCTACCTTGGAGCAGGAAACTATGAATTTTGTCTGAAGAAAGGGAATTAAGAACAACCTTACAGCTCCTGCTCCTCCAGCTGCACCTTCAGCCTTAAAATCCTGATGAATCAGGAGACACCTGTGGACTCCTGAACCCCTGTGTGTCTGCGCGTCGGTCAGAAGGCAGCAATGCAAGTCTCTTGTGAATAGTGTTTATAATTAGAGATGTTTATATTTAAGTAGTTATTTTATAAATAAAAGCATTTCTAAGGGCCATGAGTATGTTTTCTTAACTTACCTCCACGTTTAGCCTGAACCTCCTTCTCCTGTTTCTGGGGGTACCTTCTTGACAATTCAGTGATGCCCAGATTCTGGGAGATGGGAGAAGCTAACTGAATAAATTCAGGTCAGAATTCATTTTGTCAAATATAATTTCAGCAGAATTACTGTATTTTCAAAAGATGTGCCTGCTGCAGGCCTCTTCATTTTGAGCCATTTCGTATTACAAAATTGTAGCAGAACAGCAGAGCTGGAATGTCTGAGCTGGAATCCCTAAGAGGTAAGTATTTTCCTGCTGTTCCAGATGTGGAAACTGATGCACTAGCGATTAACTAACAAGGTCACACGGTAGCAGTTGGCCAAGGTCGGGGGTGGGAGGGGGAGAAGCAGCAGGAGCACTGGCCGAGGTGGCACTGAGGACACTGTGGGCAACAGTGAAACAAGCACCTGATATGAAGAAATAGAAACTGTGAGTGAATAGACTGTTCACTCTGGGAAAGAAACAGGTCAGCTAGGCACCAGATCTTTCATTTAATGGACAAGAAAATGGGGTCCAGTGACTTGCCCAAGTCATACATCAAGTTTTTGATGGATCCTGAATTTAAACTCAAGCCTCGGGCTCTCTAGCCAAGTCTTTCCACCTTGTTCTGGATCCAGACCCTTAAGAGCTTTGTGACCTTGGCAACTTAACTAACCTGGGTTTAGCTTCAGCTTCCTCATCTACAGTAGAGATGGCAGCACTCTCCACCTCATGGCTTGCTGTAAGGATTGAATGAGTTAATACGTGGAGAGTGCTAGGACATTGCCTGACAGAGTAAACAAATTGGAGGGCCTTGAGGTCCAAGTCAAGGAATTTGGATGTGATGAGTTAGGTAGAAAGGAGCTCCTATAGGTCCTGAACTGGACTGCTTGTTTGAGGAAGGTTAAATGGTAACAGGATGGTTTGGAGGAAGGACAGATCAAAGGCAAGAAAATTACTGGAAAAGAGTTAACTGATTTGGGCATAAGATTACTCGAGAATGGAAAAAAGCAACAGCATCCTATAAATAATATGAAATTGAAGAAATGCTGGAATCACTGGCGAAAGGGATTTCATGGGGATGGGAGCGAGTTTAGGAAAAGAAGGCAAGTTTTGTTTTAAACACTAGACGTCTGCTGGGTCTTGCTGCTTCAAATGTGGTCTCCAGACCAGCGGCATCGCCCTCCTTGTAACCTGGGAGCTTGCTGGACATGCAGGCCCCACCCCAGGCCGACTGACTCAAGGTCCCAGCTGATTTGTGTGCACATGAAAGTTTGAGGAGCATCTGTACAGGCAGGTTTTTATGATGGAACTTTCTACCATCAGGAGTTAGAAAAACCAAGGAAGGAAAAGGGTGTCAGATGTTTCAGACACAACAGGAGGAAATGTTATTGAAGAATTTTCCAAATCCGGCTTTCCTGGTTGCTTCCTCTCATGAGTTTTCTCCCTTTCCTGTCTGGAAGTAGCTCTTTGGTTGTGCCTTCCTCCAAGAGTCCTAGGAGAACAGGAGGGCTGGGAATCTGTCGTCATCTATGAAGTGTAGATTTCTGGCTAATTCAGGATTATTGTGAGAAATAAGATGATGCCTGCAAATTTTGTGCACTGTGAGCTCTAGAAGTACGTGGTTTTAATAAAGGTTGAATTTGGCGTCACCCTGTTTTAATTGTGAGGTTGAGACTGTGTGGGTTTTGTTTCAGGGTCAGCAATAAACAGGCCCTAGACGAACGCAGTTGTGCTCTGAATTGTGTTTCACTTGCAGAACCGTAGGCTTGAGGACCAAGAAACCTCGAGATTTATATACGTCATTGTAAATCCTCTGTCTGGTCACCAAACACCACTTCAGGATTTTAAACTCTGCCACGTATTAGTGCATCATATTGCTGAAGTTTTCTCTATTTCTCCTTTGCTGGGTGCGGCAGACGGTGCCTCAGAGCAGGGATGGTCTCCAATCTGAGCTCCTGCTTTATTCCACCCAGCCCACTGGAAGTTTCTTGCACTTGTTAGTGAAGATCAACATTAGTGTTTTGCATGTATGAAGAAGGGAATTTTCCACAAGAAATTGCAGACTTTGCAAGCTATGTAGGGTTATCCATTCCTTACCACCCCTCAGAGGTGACCCTCAAGGAGAAAGGAGCAGACAGCGCTTTCCCAGAGGTAAGTTGTGGTGGAGCGGTGGTGAGAGGGAGGGAGCACTCTGGGTAGGGCAGCAGCAATGTGTTCGTTCATTTAGGAAACGTTTACGGGGAGCATGCAGGCACAGGGGACCCGCAGCAGACCAGAGGGTCTGCAGACTCAGCAGGACCATGTCACAGGCACTGTCTGTGCACCGCCATGCCTAGGCATCTTCTGGGACACCAAGGGGAGTCAAGCTCTAAGCCTTTCCCGTGGCAGCCACTCCTCAGGTCCAGGATCGGGGAAGCTGAGAGTGAGAGACTCCCCATCTGTCACGGCCTCCCCTTCTGGTTGGAGTCACCATGACTCGCTTTAACCAGGGACCTTCCTACAGCCTCTCAGCTGAGATCAAGAATAGATTTCCTCCAAATATGATCAAGCTGAATAACATCTTTGCAATTTGATAGAAGAGGTGACAGGCATGAGCACTGAAAGCCACTTTTAGCTGGGCTTAAAAGATGCCATGATCCTCCATGGGTTCAACTAGAGTGAGATTCATTGAAGATCAATGAATTGTCGTTAAACTGACTTCAGTTGGAGAATATTGGCAATTTGATCAGAGCTAGTTGGGCTTACAGTATTGTATTAGTTTCCTTTTGCTCCTGTAACAAATTACCACAAATCTATGGCCTAAAACAACACAAGTTTATTGTCTTACAGTTCTGGCGGTCAGAAGTTCAAAGCATTTCACTGGGCTAAAGTCAAGTTGTCAGTATCACTGGTTCCTTTGGAAACTCGGGGAGAATCTGTTTCCTTGCCTTTTCCAGCTTCTAGAAGCTGCCTGATTCCTTGGCTTGTGGCCCCTTCCTCTGTCTTCTGAATCAGCAGCATGGTGTCTTCACATGTCTTTGTTTCCATCACTCCATGGTCTTCATGCTAACTCTGACCCTCGTGACAAGGATTCTTGTGATTACATTGGGCCCACCTGGATAATCGCTCCATCTCAATATCCTTAATCACATCTGCAAAGTCCCTTTTGCTATGTAAAGTAAATCCTCACAGGTTTTGAGGACCAAACGTGGACATCTTTGGGGACCATTATTCTATCTACCACAGGTGTGAATACACATGATGTTTTTGAGGCAAATTGTCTTTTTGAGAATGGAAACGATCCAGTCCGCTACGCTGGTGATTCCAGAGCAGGGGTCAGCAAAACTTTTCTGTAAACGGCCAGATAGTACATATTTTAGGCTTTGCAAGCCATACAGTCTGTCCCAACTCCTCAACTCCGTCATTGTAACACAAAAGCAGGCAAAAATAATACAGAAATAAGTGAGCATGACTGTGTTGCAACAAAACTTTTATTTACAAAAACAGATGGCAGGCCGGATTTGGCCCTTCAGCCATACACTGCTCTAGGTCTGGCTAAAACAGGAGGATTCTGGTCAACCATTAACACTGAAGTCAAGTATGCAGAAAAACTAGACCTTTTGATGAAGGAAAATGAAAAGCTAGCCAAAAGGTAATTGGCTTCCAGATCGGAACTAATAACTGTATGAGCCAGGCAAGTATTTATGGGACTAGGAGCTGTCTTCATGATGCCAGAATACAGATCCTCACAAACCAGATCACTCTTTCCCAGCAGATTGGTGCCCACTAACTGGAGAGCCAGCAGCGAGGGTGTTAGCACCAGGTGTGGGGAGAGACATCCATGTCCAGAGGTAAACCAGTGGACAACTCGACAGTCTCTGGATGGATACCAACAAAGTCGTTTCTTAGAGAGGAACGGGTGGCTATGGGCTTAAGCAGCACGTAAATGTCCCAGATTGCTCCTCTGGTAGAGCCTGTCATTCACAGTGGAAGCCAAGGAACAGGACAAGTGGATCTGAAATCAGTGACAGTAGTTATCTGGCAGAATAGCCAGATAGCTGTCATGGTGAGAATGAAGGGGACTATCCAACAGATTACCGATATGGGGCCAAGGCCTTGATTGTTAGAGTTGAAGAAAGGAGCTCTGTATTAGCCCATTTTTGAAATTCAGTAAGAACCAAACTAGTCTTAAGTAATTTTTCTTTCCTTCCTGAAACTCTATGCCCATTTTACCTAATAGAACTACTGCTTTTTTTCCTACTTCTCTAAGGAGTTGCTTTTTACACTGTAATAGTTAAATTCTACAGTGTAATTACTTGCACTCTCCAATTACTTGAAGTAAAAAGGAATACTATGAAAATGGAGTGCTTCTTACAGCCATTCTTTTATACATTTTTAAAATCTTTTATTTAGTATCTTCAAACTATATGAAGCTTTTTTAAAAACAGTTTAGTGTCAAGGCCGGCTTGGTGCTGTGGTGGTTAGGTTTGCGCCCTCCACTTGGGTGGCCCGGGGTTTGCTGCTTCAGATCCTGGATGTGGACCGGAACGCTGCTCATGGAGCCATGCTGTGGCAGCATCCCACACAGAGGAGCTAGAAGGGCTCACAACTGGGATATACACCTATGTACTGGGGGGCTTTGGGGAGGGAAAAAAAAAAGGAAGATTGGCAACAGATGTTAGCTCAGAACCAATCTTCCTCACCAAAACAAAACAAAACAGTTTAGTGTCTATGTGGAAGACTAAATCCATACTTATAATTGAATATAGTCTTTGCTAACTGAATCTCTTTCAGCACTTTAGAAATTAAATGTCAATGTTTGTACAATATTGTTTGCTAATTTTTAAATAAAATCATGGTCTGTGTGCGTCTGTGATTGAATGTATTCTCAGCCTATTACCTAAAAGGGACAAATTTCTTCAGAGGGTGTTTCTAAAGGGACTTATACAAAACTAGCCTGCAAAAAAATTGACATTTGATAGGTACATTTATTCTTCCAATCTGTGCCAGTGTATCAATGTGGAGTTTCTTTGTTTTCTTCAACCCTATCACTGCATTCTTGGCATACAATTTTCCCATTTTATTTTTTTATAAATATTCTTTGAACATTAAAAAAAATGTGAGTACCTGCTATATTCTAGCCACTGGAGATATAAAAATGAGTAAGCAGTTGTTCCTGTTTTCAACAGGCTCACAGCTGAGAGAGGGAGACCTACACAGAAAGTTAGCCAACAAAGTGATAAATCCAGTAATACTAAGTTAGATGTGCTGGGGAGTATTTTTATTTGTAAACAATAGTCCCCAACTCTGGTAAAGTTAAGCAGAGAGGAAGTTCTCAAATGATAGTAGGTAGTTCCCCGACACTCTGAGAGGGTAAGAAAGCCAGACTGGCGTCCTTGAAGTCAGGAGTGATGCTCTACCACACCACAATATCCGTGGGCCCTGCTGCTAGAACCAGCACCACTGCTCCCTCTGGACAATAGCTGTGACCATCACCACTGTTGTCACCCCTGCCAGAACAGATTTCCCTGCTGCTTTGTGTCACCAGCGACTGAATAAAAATCTGGTGCTAGTGTAAGTATCCGATGAATGGAACCTAGTCACATGGCTGCATCCTGGTCTCCCACCGAGAATCTTAAGGTGGGGAAGTCCCCAACATAGAACTAAGGTTCAGACACTGAGTTTCCCCAAAGACTGAAAATGCACTACATCACGGAAGCTACCTCGGCGGTCTGAGAGGAGAGGGAGTCAGGAGAAGACGAGCTTGTAGTGGAGTCCTAATAGTCGGAGGTAGCCAGGGTATTCCAAGCAGAGGGGAAGAGGCAAGCACAAGGCCAGAACCAGAAGGTGCTGTGTGTGTGTGTGAATCTCAAAGCATGTTCATGTTGCTGGAGCTTAACGTGAGATATGGGAGTTAGAAGAAATGAGGTCGGACCAGATCTTGGGGAGCTTTGTTATTCATACTAAGGAATCGTGACTTTCCTCTGGAGTGCCAGCGAATGAAGGGCTCAAGCAGAAGAGTAACCCGATCAGTTTTGCACGCTTGATCACACCGGCAGCTGCGGGTGGATACATTTGAGAAAATCCTGGAAGCAGGGATTCCTGTGCCACTAGTACAGGTTAGATGTGTTGAGAACCTGAATGATGGGAAAAGTCTTTTATTTTGAGTGGAGGGAGTAGAAGATTCTGTCAAAGGAGGGTGAGTTGAGTGTGAGCAGGCTGAAGGATATCCAGGAGGTAATAGCCATAGGCAGCTGAATATATGAATCTCAAAACTGAAGGAGAGGAAGGGGCTAGAAATGAGAATCATATGGGTAGAAGTTGAAACCACAAGAATGCAGGAAATCAATTATGGAGAAAACAGAGAAACTATGGGGTGAATGTGAAGGACCAAAACAGGAACATCTTAATGCTTGAAGGACAGACAAGGACAGTGGGAAAAAGCAACCATGTCATCAGTGGTCTCTAAGTGGGGTTGGGTCACCCGGAGCCCGGGCCAACAAAAGATCTGCAGTGGGAGGAGCGATCACCAACGTTTTGGATGCAGGCTGGTTCTGGTTCCACCACCTTCACTGGACGTCTTAGTCATCACTACTGAGAAAAGAATGAAGCTTCCCTTCTCTTCATCTGCATCCACAGCAGTAGGTAAATCAAAAACCCCTCTCATTATAGAAAAAAGAAGAAATCATTGGGCCAAATCAGGAAATTGGTTTCTGGTCCTGGCTCTGCCAGAAACACTCATGTTTTGACTTTGGATATCATATATCCTTTCTCAGACTGGTGCTTATCTGAAAAATGAGAGACTTTAACTGGATTATCCCCAAGGGCTTTACCAGTTGGGTTAGTCAGGAGACAGAAACCATAGGTTATTTTAACAGAGAATAATATAAAGAATTGTGAAGTAGGCATTGAAGAAAGGGCCAAAGGAAAACAAGTATCGGGGAGCTAGCAAGTGCAAGAAGCAACCATCGCCGTGAGGGCCGTGAGAACAAAGGACAGAGGTTGGTATTGCTAAAATTTAGGAGGGGGTGCCTTAGAGCTGAAACCCAGACTTCTCAAGGGGGCGCTGCTCAGCTGGTGCTGGTTCTCTGAGGGGCACAATGACACTGGTTCTGGGAGGCCTGGAGAAAGTGCAAAATGAACTCAGTGCTGCTACTTGGATAAACTGCTGCCACAGAGAAACGTCGCTAGAGTGATGCTGATGGGAACAGAGCAAACAGGAGGAAACAAGTCTCTTCCTCAGCCAGGCTTGCAGCTGTTTATCCCCTTCCTTTGGGAAGTTTAAGTCTCTGAGCATCTCACTCAACCAATAGCTAAAATGATGAATAAAGAAAAATCTTTTATAATTGCATCACTGAAATGCAAGAGGAATATGCTGAACCCAAAATAATGTGACACAAAAAACCATGCAGGTAAAGAAGTGTCAAAGCTTAGGATGACTTCTGAAACATGGAGACCTTGACCTTTGTTGACAATACAGGATGCCGAAGCAAGAGATGAAGCCAAGGCCTGCTTAGATGGAGACCCTAACAGGAGACCCTTTGATAAACCTGGGCCTGACTGGGCTATCCCTGCAGTACCCAGGTAATTGAGGAATAAACCCCCCAATGCAGAAGGAGTCAACAGGGCAACATGTCTATCTCCAACCTGATGCTAGGGCAAGGGGACGAATCTCCCTTGAGAATTTGTAAACCACGAGTTGGCTCTTGTGCAGGACTGTGGGCTGAAGTCACACCAACTGTAGGGTTCGAAACCCCTTAGTAGAGAATTTAATTCAAATTGGCAATGCCTGCAGGTGACAGGCAGAAGCTTTCACAATTCAACTTAGGAGAGCTCAGGTTCAACTTGTCCATAGATAAAATGCTAAGGAGAGTGAGCAGCTTACAGTAAAAATTCCAAAGGCATACAAGGAAACAAAGCACCCTGAACAAGTAGCAGCAGAATCCTCATAGCGAAACCAAAACTGTAACCAGGGAACCATACATTAAAATCTCAATGAGATACCAACTCATACTTAGCAGATTGACCAAAATGTTTTAAATTGGCATTACCAGATTGGCATTACCTAGTATATGCATGTAAACCCGTACGTATCCCCTATTCCGACATTTATATCCTAAAGCAACTCATACGTATATCTCAGGAGTTATAAACCAGAATGTTCACAGCAGTATTGTTCATAATAGGGAAAAAAACCCTCTAGAAATAATCCTACTGCTGACCAACATGAAAATGGATACACTGGTGTATTCACACACTGCCAGACTCCAGAGCAGTGAGAATGAACTGACATCACTACGTGCATCAACATGGATGAGTGTCAAAAAATAGTAATGAACAAAAATCATAGAAGAATCCATGCAGTGAGTCAGGCCATTTACGTAACTTTAAAAATGTACACATTGTTTAAGGATACATACAAAGTGGTAAAACTAAAATGAGAAGCAAGGAGATACGATCAGGAAATTCAGGGTAGTGGTTCTCTCTTGGGGGGTGGGTAGCAAGGGGCTCTGATCAAACTGGGATCCTCAGGGGGTCCGATGTAGCTGGTTATACTCCTTCCCTAACCCGGGTAGTGGGTACATGGGTGTTCGCTGATGATCCTTCTTTAAAATGTATATTTTACACACACTTCTGTGTGTATGATATACTCCACAAAAAAAGTAAAATTAAATGACGAATGATCCTTCTAGTCCTTCCCTAACCCATGGGACCTGCTGTCAGAATGAGGTGCTGTTCGTATGTTCAATGCCAGCTTCTTTGGCCATAAGATAAAAGGGGCCGGAGTTTTTCAGTAGTTCTTCAGGGCTGCCATACTCTACAATCCTCCCGTTATCTAGGACCATTATCCTGAAACACGGAAGAAAGAAAGGTCTTAGACAGCAGCATCTCAAATCTTGGCATTTATAAGAAAAACCAGGTCTACTTAGTATACATAGTATATTCACTCATCCAAGGCTACAAAGCAGGGAGAATGAATGAACCGTGGCTGTCTGCATCAACACGGGTGGATTTCAGACGTAATGTTGAACAAGAGAATCAAGTAGGAGGAGAATATATGCAGTCTGAGTTTATTTACATAAGTGCTTTCTTTTTTTCAAAGACACATTATTTATGGGAGCCTATCCTTTCTAAATGGTTTCTAAGATTACTGATGTTACCCTCATTTTGACTGTAATATAGCAGGGTTGGAAGGAACAGAAAGCTGCTGTTTACGGGGGCAGCAGCTGAGACCCAGCTTAGTTGGGAAGGTCTGTGGTCAACACCTGCTGCTCATGGCTTGGGCCTCCACCTCCCCATACTCGGTTAATAGTTACAGTTTCCAATTTACCCTCCAGACAGTTCCCTTAAGCCTGCTGGCTTTCATTAGCTTAATGTATAATTTTGGGCAAATTACTTGAAATCTCTAGGCCTTCATTTCTTCATCAGTAAAATGATGGTGGTTAAACCTTCTGCTGTAAGGTATCTCATGGCTGATGCTATTACTGTTGACCAAGGGTTAGGCCTTGTCCATCAAGCTCTGCCACCACCCTCCACTTACTTGTCACTGTCCATGATGGTGTGCAGCCTGTGGGCAATGGTGATGGCCGTGCAGTGGGAGAACTCATTTTGGATGGTCGTCTGGATGAGTTGATCTGTCTCTAGATCCACGGCAGCAGTGGCCTCATCCATGATCAGAATCTTGGATTTCCGAAGCAGAGCCCTGGCCAGGCACAGTAGCTGCCTCTGCCCTGTGCTGCAGCCAATGGAAGAAAGCAAGCATTAGCCCCTAAGGACCAAGGAATAACCCGGGCTGCGGGTGGGGGGAGTCAGTTTTCATGTTCCAGATCAGACTCTCAAACCCCACTCCTAAATTCCACCAGAATGCTTCAGCTTCATCCAATACCTGTTCATTGTTGCCATGGGCAGTGTTTTCCAAACTTTCCCAATTAATTAGACGACCTACCACAGGTACTTAATTTAAACATTTGTATTTCTGGGCCCCACCCTACTCACTCAGAATAGGGAGGAGCCTAGGAACATGTATTTTTAATAGGCACTCCAGGCAATTTTCACGTTTAACAAGTTTGGAAAACACTAGCCCAGAAATAGTGCTTTGCATTTGGCTACAGTGATATCCCAGCACATGAACAACAATTCCAAAATAAAATGGATGCCACCAATTTCATGTCAGCAGTATTTGACTTGACACCGTTAATATAGGGTGACACCGCACCAGAATGCCCCAGTGGCATTTCTCAGTGGCCTTAGCAAATCTATCCATTATTTTAATGTGTAATTCTAGACTCAAGGCTAATTATTTGTTCAAGGACTTCTGCTTTGATTAGAAAGAGTTATCTAATGAACACGATGTCTTGGTGTGAGATGCAATGTACGTGGAATTCGAATAAGCTTGTTAAATGCAAATCGCTTTAATTTGCTAAAAGCCAGTAATGAAGGCTGGACCTCTTACTTGTATAAAGAAGCTTTGGGAAATGATGTGGAGGAAATATTCAGGAATTCACTAATTACTCTTTCCTGCTGTGGCCATTAAGGAACATATTAAACAGGGGGTAGCCAGACTAAAGTTCTGTAATTCTCTGTAAGAAAATTTCTGCAGGAGATGAGAAGTCACCCAAGATGAACTTCTGGTTTTTCTCTGTAATATAAGAGGGGAGACACAGCAAAACTATTTACTTAACTTGTACCAAACTCCTGCCTGGTTCAGCTGGGCCTCACAGTAACAGGCTGCGGCTGAGGCACCAGTTGGGCTCTCAGCTGCTGACTCTCTCTCCAAGCTGACTGATCTCCAGTCTCTGACCGCTCATCAGATTAAGCTTCAACACCCCAAACCAGGTCTGAAATCAAGGCATCAGGAATGCCATTTAAGTGTCTCCACTTGTGGACAGAGAAGGAGGGTGTGACTTTTGTTCTTACAAACCAGAAGTGTTAAGGCCCCCGTCACATCCTGCCAGAGGATCCCACGTGGCCCCACATGTCTGCAGCATTTTACTGCACAGCATTTACTTGCACAAGGTCTCTCTTCTCCATTATGCTGTAAGTGCTAGGAGGTCTGGGTTGTGTCCATGTCATCTCTCTTTGTATCTCCAGTGCCTGGCATATAGTAAGTGCTCAATACATGTTTGATGACTGAATGTTTGGTCTTTTCCACAGGCCTAAAGACCTACTTAACTTTTGCTACTGCCTAGATCTGTTGCTGAGGGAAAACAAACATGATGGTGTTCTATATGGAGGCTTACAAGTGTTCCTCAGGGCTACCCACTGAAGAATCACCTGGGCCCCTGATTCAAATGGCCTGGAGTGCAGCCTGGGCATTGGGATTTTTTTTTTAAGTTTCCTAAGTGATTCTAGGTGTGGCCTAGTTAAGAATCAGTACTCTAGGTAGTGTTTCTCAAGCTGTAATATGCACACAAATCACCTGGGAATCTTGCTAAACTGCAGATTCTGATTAGTAGGTCTAGAGCCTGTGATTCTGCATTTCTAACAAGCTCCCAGGTGAAGCCAGAGCTGCTGGCCCGTTAGTTGAGCTACTGAGCCTCCTTTCTTTTCTGAGAGTCATCTGCTAACGGTCCATGCTCTACCCCCCACTCTGAAGGCACCTGGGACTCAAGCAAGAACTACCCCTGAGCAGCAGGCTTTGGCTGATGGCTGACTTCACCATCTGGAGGGAGAAACCTGGTTGTCATAGGCAAAATGCCAGGTCAACTTATTAACCGAGAGGCAGACACATAGGGAAGGCCGGAAGTGTGAAGTGTCGACATACATAGACGAGCTTTGGAAAGGTAAAAGGAACTGTGAAGCCAAGAGAGTCTTTGTGCTGATTTAAGGTGTTTCAGGAGCCCCAGGCCTCTGAGGACACACCGTCCCCACTGTCCACATGCCCCTTAGGCCAGTGCTGCTCAAACTAGGATGCCCATCACAACCCCCTGGGGATCCTCTGGAACTTCCGTATCCAGTCTGCACCTCATACCAATTGAATCAGACTCTCTGGGCTTGGACTAGGCATCGGGATTGTTTTCATCCTGGTAGCAGTCCACAGCTGAGTTGAGAATGTCCACGCTGGCAGGATGTGTAAGCTCACATTGTGTCATGTCTCGTGAGGGTGCCTTTACTAACAAAGGTTTTCAAGAGTTTTGATGCACATTCACATCTACTTTATCATGTCATCTTCACAACGGGCTCATTTTACACATTAGGAATTAGACCTAGAGAGTGAAAATTCTTTTTTTTTTTTTTTGCAGAAGATTAGCCCTGAGCTAACATCTGCCACCAATCCTCCTCTTTTTGCTGAGGAAGACTGGCCCTGAGCTAACATCCATGCCCATCTTCCATCTACTTTATATGTGGGACACCTGCCACAGCATGGCTTGACAAGCGGTGTCATGTCTGTACCCGGGATCCGAACCGGCAAACCTGGGCTGCTAAAGTGGAACGTGTGCACTTAACTGCTGTGCCACCAGGCTGGCCCCTGGAGAGTGAAAATTCTATAATGCCAGGTACCACCTGTAGCACAAGGAACAAAGGAGTGGCTCCCCCTTACCTCCTCTCACTGCCTGTGGGGAAAGTGGATTATGAAACATTACCTGAGGTTGTCACCAGCTTCTGCCACTTCATAAGACAGCCCAAGTGGCAGGCCAGCCACAAAGGATTTGAGGTGAGCCAGCTCCAGGGCCTTCCAAACCTCCTCATCTGAGTAGTTGTTGAAAGGGTCTAGATTCATCCTCAGGGTCCCAGAGAACAGGATGGGATCCTGCAAGACGAGGGACAAGGGGGCTACTGGGGCTAATGACAGGAAAGGGACTAGCAGTTCTTTGTGGCCAGGAGAAAGCAGGTAGGACTGGCCTGAGATAGAAAGCCAGTTAGTGGTCAAGTTTTTGTAAGGCTTCCCCATTGAAGGCTTAGAGTGGCTGCCAGCCGGGGAGCCAAGCACAGGATGAAGAGTTTTTGGCTTTTTTGTTTTTCATTCTGAGATTCATTTATGGATTTCCAAATTTGCCTCGGCATCTCTTAAGAAGCTGAGAGGCATGTCCCACAACCCCAAATATGGTGTAGAGGTGGAGAGATCAGTGGCAGGCAGATGGGGATAGTACAGTCGCAAGAGAAGAATTTATTAAGCTTTTGAAGAGGCTGGAGAAAAGAGTATATCAAACTGAGCAAATGTCAGACAAACCAAAACCATCGGCAGAGACTTGGCTGCAGCTAGCAATGGTTCTAATGAGGACCCACACACCACCCTGAGAGTGGAGGGGCCTCCGGGGCAGTCCTTGTTTGGTAGGTTCCGGAGAGGAAGCCAAAGGGAAGCCTTTCTTGCTGATGCACTAAGCTTTCTGCTTGCTGGCAGAAACCTGCAGCAAATTCCCTCCCCTATCTTTTAACCATATCAAATGGGGAGTATAAAGCTTAATGGTTTCAAGCTTCAGTGGCAAAACTGCTAACGCTGATTGCAAAGGTCTTGAGAACCCTGATGGTCTACAGAAATGCTAACTAATCATCTGCTCTATTTGACTTCTGTTGTGTTGCTGCCACCTACTGGTTAGACACTGGCAGTCACACAGGCATATTACAAAAAGCTGCAAAACTTATTCTTGTAAGTTCTGGAAACAATGTGTCTTAAGGAACTAGCTTAGGTATCCTGGGTAGACTACAGAAATGAGACTGCTAATTGAATATACATCAAGAAGCACATGCACATTTCCTGCAAAACAGGCTGTCCTCTGCTGCGTGTGAGAGAGTAAGTTCTACAGCTCACCTGGGGGATAATGGTCAGTTTCTCTCGGAGGTCGTGGAGCCCAATGGAAGCAATATCTACCCCGTCAATGATGATCTGGCCACCTGCAGCCTCTAGGATTCTGAAGAGGCTGTTTGTCAGGGATGACTTCCCAGCTCCCGTCCTGCCCACCACACCGATCTGTAAATACAGTTCCTTTGCACGTTAGTTCACCAGGTAATTCTTGGGGAAAAAAATGTAGCCTGGGGCATTCATAGCCACACAGGTGGAAAGAGACAGTGGTTGGCTATTTCATCTCTAAGATGTGAAACTGATTTGGTAAGAAAAAATTGCCCAAATGTCAGAAAAAGATGACCTTCCCATCCTACCTCCTAAATAGTCACTTGCTGAGAACTGCAGTGACACATCAGCAGCTGTTGTTGTTATAATTATTACTGGAAATCATAGATTTTTAAAAACCCTTGTTTAGAAGTGAGGAGAAGTGAAGGAACGGACCTGCCATTAGCTGAGAACCAGACCCGGACCTGGACCTCGGCAGCTTTACCTACACTTGTTTGGGTCCCACATTAGACCCACATCCTCAGAGGGCAAGAACACCATAGGAGGGTGCAGAACTTTGCAGACGAGAAGGAGAACCAGGCCATTCTCTCTGCAGGGACAACCTCCACACTGCTCTTCTCAGCAGTTCCTTCCCCAGGCCTGGTGCTTCCTAACTTCCTCTCCACATGCCCTGGCCCTTACAGGAAAGGAGCCACCATCAGCCACAGAAGAGGATGCCACAGGGAGGCAGGGAAGGACTGAGCAGGAAGCCCTACAGCCCCACCAAGTCTGAGCTCTTGATATCCTGCCCTCTGGTGGTGGCCCTGTGTCCCTACACCTCCCCAGGGCGGAGAAAGTGCCCTGACCCTCTCCTGCTTCCCTAATAATGAAAGCCCAGAGTCCAGCTGCTCCCCACCTCTGCGTCCAACTGTGCTCCGATCACAAGGACTCATATCCAGGCCTTTCTTCAGCTCCACCTACCTTCTCCGTGCTCTTAATGTCACAAGTGATCCCTTTCAGTACCAGATCCAGCTCAGGCCGGTACCGCACTTCGTAGTTGCTAAACTGGATCTCCCCTTTGCTAGGCCAACCTGCCGGAGGCTTCTTATCAGTCACCCAGGGTGCCTGGCAAGGAGACAGGAGAAGAAGTGCTTCACATGGTGGCAACTCACTGAACAGTCCCCATGGGACTCCTGTCACAGAAGAAGGGCAACAATGTCCCAGCCACCTGTGGGCATCTGCGTTGAATAGACTGAAATAGACTTTCAGAAGGTTCTTACCTTATTCAATTAAAGAAACGCTATCCCACAAGGTTGCTCTATGGATCTCCAGAATGAAGCCACCATTTAACCTGGCACATTCCAAGCCCTGACTTCCACCAAACCACTTCCTAGTCTAAGTTTCAAGAAATTGGGTCCTTTGACTTCGAGCAAGGGGAACATGAGGAGAACCTTTATGATCCCATGTGCATCCTCTAGACAAAGTGAAGATGTTCTCTTGAAGGAGTCACATAGTTTGCTTTTTTTGCCTTGCCCCTGGGTTCCTCTAATTCCTCCTTACCTCATTTTCCACATTTATATACTCATCTATTCGCTCAACAGCCACAATGTTGGTCTCTGTTTCTGATGTCATCCTCACCAGCCAGTTCAGGGTTTGTGTGATCTACAGAATAACCAGAAGACTAAAGATCATCTCAGGCTCAGAAACCAACTCAACCAATCAAACCACAAGTCAATCCAGTGCCTATTTTGTACCCAGCGCTATGCTGAGCTCCACAAGCAAGCAAGGAAAAGTATAAGTGACAATCCTCACCTCTTTGGGGGAGGAAATGAGACCAGTGCACTGAATGGCTGAAGAACAATTAAGTGTTCAACTGTGTGCTGCTAAACATGAAAGGCGATATGAGCTTGGAGTGGCCTGGGGCTAAAGCTGTGGTTGGAGAGGCGGGAGTTGGTGGAGTGGGGCCAGAACTTGGCTCTCCTGCCTGTAAGCCTAGTGTCTGTGGAGAAGATATGGGGTGGCATTCTTCAAATGGGAAAAGCATAAGAAAAGACACAGCATGGGAGAAGGCCTTCCAAAAAGCTGCCTCCTCTCTCTGCTCTCAATTAACAACAGCTTGATTGAGAACCCAGCCCTCAAGGTAGGACATCCACATGAACCCTTGTCCTCCTTTATCCCAATGAACTCCAGATACCTTCCTGCCATTACAAAAATACAGTCATGCATCACTTAACAATGGGGATACGTTCTGAGAAATGTGTCATTAAGTGATTTCGTCATTGTGTGAACATCATAGAGTATACTCACACAAACCCAGATGATATAGCCTACTACACACCTACACTATATGGTACTAATCTTATGGGACCACCATCATCTATGTGGTCCGTCATTGACCAAAACACTGCTATGTAGCAGGTGACTGTACATCTAAGTAGCAGTAAGAAGGTTGTCATGATCTGGGCCAGTCTAGAATCTGGGGAATCCGTGGATTACTCTGATGCAAGCTTCTTTCAGGCAAAGACTTGGACCTGGCACATAGGCACAGGGAATTTTTGTTGAGCACATGGCAGTTACAGAGACGGTGAGCATAGGATCGTGGGCACTATGACTAACCACTTTATGTAGGTTGAACCTTATGTAGTTGTTGATATTTGAATGTTTTTGTTTTGGTTCAATCTAGTAATTCTCCAACTCTTTGCCCCATCTGTCCCAGGTTAATAAACCTAGAAGTGAGGGGATGAAGGGCCAGTGGCACAGGGAACCCATTGACTCTGGTGAACAGCAGAATCCTTTAGGGTGCCTCACCATGATTGCCTTCAGCCTTATTAACTCCTACTGAAGACAGCACCTTATAGAGCTTGCTGATAGTTATGTAAATCTCCAATATATTAGTTTGAAAGATACCATGAAGGATGGTCAAACGACTCATTATGTGAGTGTGATTTATTAAACATTTACTGTAGTGCCAGCCCGTGTCTTAGGTGCTAGGAAATAATGTCCAACATTAATCCCCTAGTCATGCTGGGGATGCATTATATAGTTTTATTGGACTCTATGTTGTTTATTAGAGTTAGCTCCAATTATTCTGTGATCTAAGAAAAAGAAACATAAGAGAAGTTATTTGTTCACAAGACCTTTTGGTTTCTGATATAATGGAAAAGAAACTCATTTATTCTCTCTTTTGACTAGAATCAAGCAAAGAGGCAAAGAGACAGGGAACTATTAGGTTGAATCATATGAAACTGCTTTCTTAACTCCCAAGGGCAACAAAATTTATGTCCATTTTTCCAGATGATGCTGGTACCTACTTAGAAATGGTAAGGAGTGTGTCCATGGTTGTACAATTAGTAAGAGAGGGAGCCAGGGTTTGAACCTCAGTTTCCCCTCATCCCTTTGGATCTAGAAAGAATCAAGAGCATGGACTCCATGGCATACTCTAGATTCATTTTAGGAATAAGTGCATTAATGTAACCAAACTCCCAATCTTCAGACTCACATTGAGTGCATTGGACAGAACAAAGCCCACAGTGTCCCCGGTTAGGGTATCTCTATAAACAACCATCAGCAAGGCTGAAAAGAAGACGACCAGGTTCCCAATCAGCTCCAGACGAACTGCAAGCCACCTGCAGGGCAACAGAATCAGAGAGAGAGAGGTGTCACTGATCTCCATTTGCTTATCTTAATCAGCAACCTCAGTGTTCATAGAACATTCTCAGAGGGCTTGAGTTGGTATGGCTGTGCTCTTAGGAGGTGCCTCAAATTACCACGTGTTCCTAAAATCTTGGATTGAATTTTTTGGAAAATAAATTGCATTTTAAAGGTACTAGAGGAGTTTGCTAAACCAAGAGAATCCTATGGTGCAATGTCTCCCAAACTTGCCAAATCAAAGGAATCATCTGGGGCAATTCTTAAAAATGCACAAATTCATGCAAAAAATTCCTAGACTCTTCCCCAGGAGATTCTGATTCAAAGGGACTAGAATTGGGTTCAGGAACCTGCATTTCTAACAAACATTCCAAGTGATTTCTTTTGACTAAGCAGGGGAAGCAATGCCATAGAGAATCCAAATGTAAGGGTAGAAAGTAAGCACCACAGTAAGGTTCAGTGTACCCTGTCTGATTTCATGATTTTAAAAAGGTGGAGAACCTAGAAGTTAGGGGAAATTAGGTATGAGTTGATCACAGGGAGATATATCGGGGCTTCCTAGAGAACTGAATGATTTATAGAAAGACATAGTTTATAAAAATTGACTTTCCCAAATAAAATGCATTCAGATGTTTGCATCAACAATTCTAGCACGTATCCAAACAGATATGAAACATATTTTACAACGGACATACAATAGGATTTACTTATATGCCTGTTCCCTTCTTGGAAAGTGCCTAAGAAATAAAATATCTTTACGATCAAATTTCTGATCTCTCCACATTCCAAATAACACTGAGCATCATGAGCCTACCCTTAACACCTTAAGACAATGTGGAGGCCACTAAAGACTTTCCCTTCCTGAAAAAGACCTTCCTTCTTAGAGGACATACCACTTCTTGCCAGGGTCCAATGATGCTGGAGAAATGAAGAATGCTCATCCTACTCAGGGATTCACCTTACAGGATGTGAACTTTCCATTTCTGTCATCATTGGTTTTACCTAAAAATTCCCAACTCTTTTCCCTCCAACCTCTGCTCTATCACCACCCTACGAAGAGTGTCCTGCCTATAGAGAATCTCATGTCCACTCTCGGGGAAGCAGAGAATGTCCAGTTCACCCGGCACTTGTTTAGTACCTGGGTTACAAAATGCTGACAGATGTCATTTAACTTCCACCATAACCTTGTGAAATAGTTGTGTTCTAGCAATTGTGAAAACAAAGAAAATGAGACTTTCCTTAGAGAGGTCAAGACAATTTACTCAGCACAGTAAATGGCAGAGCAGGCACTGGGACCCAGTCTCTGACTCCAAAGCTCATGCATTCTTCTCTTACATACATGACGAGCGTGTTTGGCCAGAGTGATTTTCACATCACTGTCATGCCTGCCTTCCTATAGCTAACGTCAAACATGCAGAATCCCAAAGCACAAATTTGGGTAAATATCCAGCAGCAGCCTCACCTGTTGGCAGTAATCCAGGAAAAGACACATTTCTGGTTAGTGTCAATCCCCACTTCACTGTGTTTTAGAAATCGGTGCTGGTGCTCAAAGGCGCGGATGACAGACAAACCTGACACGGTCTCACTGAAGTGAGAGTAGATTGGGGACCTGGTGACAGAGTCCAGACGTCTCAGCTGGCGGGACGTAGCCACATAAAATATCTGGTCCCCAAAAGTAAAGAGTCTGTTAGTAACACAATCGTCTCACACATGCCGTACCTCCTCCTTTGTGGCCATGACCCAACGTTCTTCACCTTGATGGCCACAGACCACATCTGTGGGCTGTGGAGACAGAAGCCTCCAGTCCCACTTCTGGCTAAAGGAATGATGAGAGAGGAAGAGGATGGTGGGAATATCTGGGGTTGGTGGGGAACAGAGGAGGATGAAAGTGAGGAGACTATACCACAGCCTTAGAGGTTTGAATTTCCAAACCATTTGAGGAGCTTGGTCAGCCTGATCCATATTCTCCCCAAGAATCTCCATATACTGTCCAAATGACAGTTTTTGTTGTAGTTAGAAAAAGGGCCTCCAAAGGATTTTGTAAATGCAGCTGGGACCCCAGGTGTGTGAAAAGTGGAGATGGGCAGGAAATGGCCAGAGAAAAGTATGCTGAGGTTTGGATAAAAATTGAATAGAGTCCGGTAAGTTACCAAAACTGTGCCACGATGGTGTGTGAAGGTAAAGATAGTTCTGGAGGTGTGTGAAATGTTGAAGGTCTAAGAACCAGACCTGGATGTAATAGAGAGTGCAGGCCAACTTTCTGAGACATGAGGCCTGAAGGGTGAGGTTCAGTGGAATGGGTTAGTGGTGCTAATAGATTCTGTGAGGATTTGGTGAAACCAGGGAAGAGCTGGGCATTTGAGAGTTGGAGTTCAAAATGTTATACCTGGAAGTTTCCTCAAATATCCTGCTTCTTATTTGTTGGTTTGTTATTAACAGTCAAAAGGTTGTTACCGAGAGGACAGTGAACCTGAGGAACTCAACACAAACACCAGGGGGTGTCACCTTACCACAGGCCATAAGCCTGCCTTGATTGTAAAGTCTTCAGAATTGTTTTCCCAAGGTGAACAGTTCATCCTAAAGGTAACTGGTGGGACAAGAGTTCTCTCCACAGCTTCCCTGCCCTCATTAATTTATACTACAAGCATGGAGTCCCTTCACTTGCTCCAGTTTTTCTGTGAAGCTTGGCTCTCAAGCTACCTATTCCCTCGAGAGTACATTGGAATTGAGCCTAAGCCATCCACAGACAATCCAGTGAAACTAGAACTGCCATGAAGTGAAAAGAGATCTAACTCCTGCCAGAGATGTCTCCAAGCAAATAAGACTAAGTCAACCCACAAAGCGGCCACAGCACAACTCTTCTAGCAGCAACCAATGACCTAACCATTGTGAGGGGTCTTATAGAGCTTCAAGACTTTGTCCAGAGCCAACCTTAAATTAGTCTTGGATCCAAACATAAATTTGCCCCACTTAAGCTTATCAGGGGCAACCGTTAATGTGAGATTTGCTGTGAACCACACACTAATTGGTGCTGACACTTCAACTTCAGACTGTGGCCTGTGGGCTCCTCAGTATATTAATGTATGATTAAATGACAAAGATGCTGGAGAGGAGCAAGTACTAGCAATAAACAAAAGGGAAGATTTTCAGGAAGGAGCCAGGGCTTTTATAAGTGGAGAGGAAAGGAGACCTAGCCATTTCCAAACCTACCTGAACAGCCACATAAACGATGCCAAGAGGAATAATGATGACAATGAAGATTGGAGTGGCCATGCAGATCATGACAAGGACGCTGATTATCCCCAGGAAGCATAAAATCCAGCTGCGCAAGGACATGGGGAGGGTGTCATCCACTGTGGAAATATCCTAGGAACACATAATTAGGAGAGGTGGTGTACTCATGAATTCCTACGACATTTTACATATTCCCAATTCCAGGAGGGAATTTGTTTAATTCTGGGTTCCCAGTGACTCCTTCATTTAATTGTTTCCTGATATTCATTTGCAATGGACTGCTCTGTTCACCCCAATAACCAATCTCATTTCTGTAGTTTCTTCATCTTTCTAAATCTCTCTAAACAGATATGGCATTCATCCTTTACCTTTTTTAATAGACTTGGCAAAGGTTTTCACTCTTCTCAGTGAAATTCTCATTTGTCGAATTTATTAAACCATTCATAACCACTGCAAGCTAATAGAGCCTTACAGGTAAGTCCTCCTACAAAGGAGCCAATTCAATTATTCTAACTTTACGCAGGTCCTAATTCCTTTGGGTACCTAGAACAGAACCTGGCACAAAACAAGCATTCAATAAACATTTGTTTGGAGGCTCCAGTCAACAAGCTCTGTCACCCATCCTTGACTGAAGAACCATCCCCCACCTGGGAGGTTGTTGCCTCTAATAAGCGTAGACCATCAAGGGGAGAGGGAGGTGGAGATTGAATGTGATCCCTGCCTGGCCAGTGTTCTAACCAAGGAACCCAGAGGTGACGGACAGGTCTTACTGCCATACTGCCTTCATGTCATGTTGAATAAAGGACTAAATGAGCAAATGAATAGATAGATGGATGGTTTAGTACACCCAGGAAGCCTGGCTTATATTTTGGGTTCCCTTGCCTATATTTCTTAGATTATGTCAATTCTAGGATTAGTACTACGTGAATACCAAGGTGAGTTCCAATTATCTCTGGAATGTCCCAAACTAGGTAAGGGATAATTGTTTCCCAAGAGAGCCCTGAAGAGTGGATGACTCCTGAGTCTAATGTACTCTTTCCAAAGTCACATCAGAATGCAAAAAACTGTATTAAGAAATCCTCACCAGCTATCAATTATATACAAATTACTTTTGATCCTTACCTGGTACAGATTCTCCATATTTCTTTCCTACACTCCCTCCGTCATCTCCTCTTAAGAGCTCAGCCATCAGTTCTAGAGAACCCTAGATCAAACTGTCCTTTATAGGCCTGAGCCACCTCCCCCACAACACTCACTATTTAATTAATGACAGTTTCCTTTTTCACGCAAAAGCAGTTAGCTAAATATGACTGTTGCTTATGCAACTCAGAGTAAGATCTCTGTGTTCTCTTTTTCAGAAGATTAATTATATATATCACCACATCAGAAAGGAGTGTGCAATCTCTGCAAAATTCCTGTGAGAACTCTCCTCATGCAAAATTGCGTGCTTTTTTAGGCTTTATTAAAGAGGAGATAGGGGCTGGCCCAGTGGCGCAGCGGTTAAGTTTGCACATTCCGCTTCTCTGGGGCTCAGGCTTCGCTGGTTCAGATCCCAAGTGAGGACATGGCACCGCTTGGCAAAAGCCATGCTGTGGTAGGCATCCCACGTATAAAGTAGAGAAAGATGGGCATGGAGGTTAGCTCAGGGCCAGTCTTCCTCAGCAAAAAGAGGAGGATTGGTAGTAGTTAGCTCAGGGCTAATCTTCCTCAAAAAAAAAAAGAGGAGAGAGCCCCTTGAAGTTGTTTCCAATAACATCATGCCCACTATTTTTGTCCCAGAGGAAGGTGATAAATGGGGATAAGTCTCTTGCCCACTTTTGAAGCAGTCACTGTGTCCCCAGAGCCTGGCTGTGGGCTGTGAGCTAGCCTTTCTGTGTCTGCTCCAAGACCAAAACAAATAAGGGTCCAGAGATACTCAGTCATTTTTAAAAATGTGCTCCCTCCTCTACAAACAGAGGACTGAAAACTGTACTGATGATAGTTGAATACTACTCCAAATTGCCCAGTTTCTTCCTTTGTTCCTGAAATTTCCATCTCAAATGCATTAAGAATCAGTGAATTCGGTCTGGCCCCATGGCAGAGAGCCATCTATGATCTTAACATTTATTGAGCATCCCAATGCCTAGCACAGTCCTTGGCTCATAGAAGGTACTCAATAAATGTGGTTGAATGAATGAATGAATGATTGCTAAGGGTTCTAGGATCTGCAGCAGATGGAGACTATGTTTTAGAACCTCATTAAAATCACAGATGGCTCTCTTCCATAATCCAGACCTAATTTACTTATTCTTAAAGCATCGAAGATGGAAGTTTGAGGAATGGAGGCAGAGACTATGCAAAGGGTTATCCTGCTATCCCTTTTATTCACTGTCACAGCCAGTGATAGTGCTTTTACTTGTGTTTTTCCCACTGCAGAATAATCCTTCTCATCCTGCTTCTACCGCCACCCACCCACCCCTATCCCCACCATCTCCCTGGCTAACTTCTATGACTTAATTCAAGTCTCACCTTTTCTGACATTTCCCACCATTAGTCACCCAGACTGAGCTAGTCCCTCTTTTCTCTGTCACTCTTTTGTATTCCCAGAACACCATTGTACACATCATTGTTATTGGTTTTACCATATTCTAGCATCATCCTTTATTTCCTTGGCTGTCTCCCTCACTAGATGGTGAGCTACTTAAAGGGCCAGAGCTGTTCATCCCTTTATCCCCAGGATCCTCAGGACCTCACACAAGGTACTCAAAAAACATTTGAATGCTGAGTGGACGAAAGAACTGGAACTGCACAAAGTTGCCTAGGGGGCCATGAGAATACTTTCCCTGTGAGAAATAGAAAGATCTTCAGCATATAAATACATCTTACAGCCCTTGTGATACTTACGCCAGCAAACCTGTTCACAATCCGGCCTATGGGTGTTGTGTCAAAAAAACTCATGGGTGCTCGAAGGATATTGTTCAGCAGTTGCTTGTGAAGGATGTTTGATGCATGGGTGGTACCATAGACAGTCCAGATATTTGCTATTAACACAAATACACCTAGAAATGGAAACAGTTTAGTCAGCACCATGCACAGAGATCCCTGAAGACTTGTGCCAAGGGCACAATGGCAAATTTTTTCTTGAGTCCAGGCAAAGTTCATGGACCAGACAGACTTTGTAAGAGATTGCTGTCATAGCCATCAGACATACCTTGTGCTAATCCCAGAGCTCCATAGACGCCAACTCTCAAGTCCCTCTGAGAGGCTGGATAGTTGGTGGCATTGAAGTTTTTAGAGTCATTGGTCCAAGCACTGAGCCAGAGGTTGGATCCAACAAAAGCCACAGAATTTAATATATAGGCCAAGATGATGAAGGCTATTGAACACCATCCTATTGCTCCAAGGTATTTCAGGTAGATGGAGAATTTCACCTGCAAAACCCCCACCTCAACATTAGTAGAATTCTTAATGGCTTTTGGTAAGGAATTACCTAGAATACCAATCACAATGGGGAGTGAAGTCCCCTGGAAATGTGGATAGCAGATAGCAAAATCTGGTAGTCTATGGTCACCATTTTGGCACTGCACCAGGATAATAATCAATGCTAAAATACAATGCAGGGTAAATAACCATCAGATTATTAATAAGCTTCTAGAAGATATAAAAGTGGGACAGATGGGATTATACTGCAGACCTCGGAATTTGTTTTATTAATTTGGATTTAAGTTATCTGAAATTTAAGACCTTGGCTTTAAGTTTTATTAATTTGAATTGTGTGCTCTGAGATTGATATATTAGCGTTCTCTGGCTCCCAGAATTGCATCCCAAAGCAGTTTTGTTGTTTTCTCTACATATCAGAATGGAATCACTCAGCGGTATGAAGATATTCACAGGAAACATGTCATTCTTCATGGAACTACAATTTGAGAGAAAGCCCAGAGCCTCCACTAACATTTCAATGGTGAATTTAAAGATTTGCAAAGCACGTACAACAAATTCCTCCTGTAGGTATGCATTCAAGTTCTCAAACTTTAAAATGTTCAGATCCCAAGCCTTATCTCACTTCTAATGGTGCTTTTTATTGTGGTGCTCACCTTTCCAGTTTGTATGAATTCCTTCTTAATTAGTTTTTGTCCTTTCACTACTTCTTCCTCTTCCTTCATGTTATTCATATTCCGAGTCTTCAAGGAGTTTTTTAGGGACTTCAGATGCCTGCTACTGGACCTAGAACTGAGAGATTGAGAGGCAGAAAGCTTTCCTGAGCATGTAGATGCATCCTGAGGTGCTTTCTACAAGTAAATGTCACACTCATTCCACTTGCATCAAAGAGAATTTTGGAGCAGATGGCCATGGGGAAACACACCACTCCAACCGTCCTCCCCATACAAGGAAACAAAGGAAGAGCTGGGAGTGTCCATGGTGTACACTCCCTCAGGAAAAGCCCACAGAGAAAAAAAGAGAATGATCAAGTGGAAATACGGAAGTGATGAGGGCTGCTAGCTGAATAGGTGACCAACCTGCGGCTAAGTGTTCGACGAAGGCTGTTTTCTCTTTTTGTGGTCAAGGAGGCCACTTCCTCAGGGATTTCCTCCACAGTGGGCATCAGCCCATAGTCATCTTCTTCTTCACTGTCCTCATTGACTAGGAGACACAACAAAAGTTAGGGAGATGGCGCAGAGCTCTCACAGCCCTGTGAACAAGGAGAAGTCTTTTCTGATCTTGCTGGCCTCAGCAAGAGATCTCAGATGTACACACAGGCTGGAATCTTCTACTCCAGAAATACTACTTAATAGTACATCTCATTGAGAAATACCAGAATAAAGGAGAAATGAGGTAAAATTCCACTGGAAGAGAAAATGGTCAAGAAGGAGAAAAATATTCCCAGAAGCTTCTAGGTTCCTTTAGAGCAGGAAAGAACTTTTAAGGGTTATACTATACAAATAGAAGACTCATAATTCCCAGAACTGATTACAGAGGTGAGTGTAAATTAAAAATTCTCTTCTTGAAATTCAGATAATTTGACAAACTTTTATGAATTTAAAGCATTTTAAAAACATACCCTGAAAATAAAATAAAATAAAATGTAAAACATAGCCTGGGCATCAGTGGGAATGGTAGAGTTAGGACCTCTGGAAATTGGTACCTCCATAAAAGCAATGAGAATACTGGCAAAAAATTGTTAAAATCAACTTTTTCATTACTCTGAAATAAACCAAAGCCTTGCAACAATCCAAGAAGCATTTATTTAAGGAAAATGGCTAAATCTCAGTAAGAACAGTAAGCTTTATGATAATTTAATTTACCTTATTCCCATCCCACTCTCCTCTGATCTGCTGGAGCCTAGAAAACCAACAACCTCACAATCATGGTAACCACAAAACCCAGCAGCTTAGCAGCTGCTGGAGGGAACAGAGTGGGTTTGGAACTCCCCCAAAAGCCTCATCCCTGGAAAATTGTCATTATCTGACCCGTCTGGCAGTTCCCTGGAAAACCTCATTCCTAGGGCTTGTCTTTATTGGACCTGACTTGCAGCTAGCTCAAACAGTCAGCAGCAACTGTTTAACATCACAGCTGCCTGAGCTGGTGGTAACAGTTGGGGCAAATAAGAAGCTGACCAAAACTTAAAAGGAAATGCTGGGGAATAAGACATCCATAGGGAGTTTTCATATCTTCAATATATTCCTAGCAATCTAGAATGTCATACACATGTGTAGGGCTATGCAAATCCCCAAGAAAGACTTGAGAAGGCCCTATTCTCTTACCACTGGCTAACCTTCAGGCTCTGTGCAAACAAGAAACAAAGGCTAAGGCAGAATGGTAAGCTGCCTGCTGGAGTGTTGAAGACATGTCCACCCCCTCCCCACACACAGAGCCACTCAGCAAAGGCTGAGTGACTTATTGGTTTTAAGGACGTAAGGAAATCTCTGCCTAGTCATTAGCTGATCACTAGGCCAACCAAGCAGAGACTTCAGTGGCCACATGTGACAAAGAATACAGACTTAACAGAATTAGTTTAGGAAACTAAACAGGAGGAACAGCAAACCCTGGTGGAGGAGGGAGGGGAGAGAAATCTTATTTCCAGAGTTGTTATATTATTCAAAATGATCATTTTTCAACAAAAAAATATGAGATATACAAAGAAGCAGGAAAGTAGGGGATCACACATGGGAAAAAAGCAGTCAACAGAAACTATACCTGAGGAAGCACAGACATTGGACTCACTGGACAGAACTTTAAATCAGGTATTATAAACATGTCCAAAGAGCAAAATGAAACCACGTCTAAAGATCTAAAGAAAAGTATGAGAATGTGTTCTCTCCAAATAGAGAACATCAGTAAAGATAGAGAAATTGTTTAAAAAGAAGAAAATAGAAATTCTAGAGTTGAAAAGTATAAGTAAAATGAAAAATTCATTAGAAAGGCTCAACAGCAGATTTGCTAAAGAGATTAGGCATGTGACTTGATCCAATTAACCATCTCAGCAGAAATGCTGCCAGCTTGGACTGCAGGGGACGGACATGGGATGAAATGAAGGAACACTGTCAGACTTCTGGGATTCTACAGGCAGGAAATGGGTCAATAGAGCCATCCAGCCATGAACATGTGATACCCTTCAAGAAAGGCGAAAAATCGCCCTGAAGGCAATAAGGGGTTGGCTGCTCCTCAGTTTCAGAGGGTGAGACCACTGCCCAGGGCTGGATGGGATGGGACCACCACTCCAGTGAGCCAGGGGAAGAGAGCATCAAGCCAAAGAGGATTATTAACAAACCTTAAAATCTACTGGAATTTGCCCTGCTTGGTTTTGGACTCACTTGGGATTTGTGATCCCTTTTTTCCTTTTGATTTTTCCCTTTTGGAATGGGAATGTCTATCCTATGACTGTCTCACTACTGTATTTTAGAAGCAGATAACTTATCTGGTTTTACAGGTTCACAGATGGAGAGGAATTTTGCCCCAGAACTCCAAGTCTCACCCACAACTGACTTGGGTGAGTTAGGTGATGAAACTCGGGACTTTAAATTGACATTTAGATGAGATTTTGAACTTAGAGTTGATACTGGAATGATTAAGAATTTGGAGGATGTTGGATGGGGTGAATGCATTTGCATGTGGGAAGGACATGAATTTTGGGGTGTCAGAGGACAGATGTTATAGATTGAATTGTATCCCCCCAAGATTCATATCTTGAAAACCTAATCCCCACTACCTCAGAATGTGACTTCATTTGGAACTAGGGTCATGGCAGATGTAATTAGTTAAGCTAAGATGGAGTCAGACTGAAGTGCAATAGGCCCCTAATTCAATATGTCTGATGTCCTCATAAAAAGGGGAAATTTGGACACAGAAATGCACACAAGGGAGAACACCATGTGAAGATGAAGGCAGAGACTGATGTGTCTACAAGCCAAGAATGCAAAAGATTGCCAGCAAACCACCAGAAGCTAGGAGAAAGTTCTGGAACAGATCCTTCCCTGTCGCCTTCAAAGGAACCAATCCTATCGACACCTTGATTTTGGATTTCTGGCCTCCAGAATTGTGAGACAATAAATTTCTGCTGTTTAAGCCACCCACTTTGTAGTGCTTTGCTTAAGCAGCTAATTAGGAATCCAACGCACAGAGCCAATATCAATCCCGGTCACCTTGCCCTCCTGCCTTTCCCTTCACTCTGCCGCCTCCTGATCTGTACCTCGAGTCCCAGAGCCAACACAACAGCATGCCAGACACTGGGGCTTACGTAACTGCTCAGAAATGACCTGTGAATGTTTACCAGAACAAGGGCTTAAAGAGTTGTTTTTCAAACTGTCCTTTGTGCATAAAAGACAAGATTCTTCAAAGGGGCTCCCCACCCATGGGAGTTTATAGCAGAGTCCAGAAACTCAATTCAGAAACAAAATCAGTCCAGACAAATCAGGATAAAATGCTTAGAATTAGCATAAGAAAATTGTCCCAGTCACAATGATGTGGCTGGCGGAGCAGTAACTCAGGGGGATCCAGCATCAGTCTCTGCGACTCTGCCCTTTGCTTGGGACCTTCACTCCCTGGGCAGGTGATTTTTGTTTTCTCCAGGCCAGTCACTGGGGCAAATAAAGGCTGATGGAAAGCTCTGACTCCTTCCTTTCTGGGGTTCCTGGTACCCCTGCCCCACTCTCCTGGGCTGGCTCCCAATCCCTGTTGCCCACACTGTCCTGTTCTTTGTTCTCGTCCTGTCCCTCCAACACTTACAGTTTAGGCTTTTCTTTCCCTCTCTTGTGCTCCCCAGGGCAGTTTTAAACCATCACATGTCCTGACCTCAAGGCGTAAACGTGCCCCCACTTTGCAGGCTCTGTGGCTACTCTCTCTTCTGACTTCTGAAATGCCCCTGAACACTCCAGATCTTGCTTTCTCAGTCCTGCTACCTGAAGCATATACCCAGAACTATACACAGGACTACTGTTGGCAGGTTCTTGGGAAGAACCCCAGGGGACAGGACTCCACTGCTGACTGGAGCTAATCAGTGACCCCAATGGTGGGGATATCAGCTATTCTGTGGTATACTGTAAGACTATGCAACTGCCATGATTTTTTCTGGTTCAAAACACCCATCGGTTTTTGGTGTATTAATCAAGATCCTTTTGGTAGGGCTTATCAAGAATTTAGCAGCACATTATTAGTATCAGCCTATGAAGCTGTCCAGGAAGCGGTTTTAATGCATTTGGGGTAGGTGGGGTAGGATCTGAGACTTGAGTCAAAAGAAGCAGGGCATCCATAAAGGGAAGCCCCTTGTGCCACTCTTGTTTCTTCCACAGGGTTAGTCACCCAAACCTCCAGTCATACCTTCCTAAAGAGTGCCCTTCAACTGCTTGTCAGAGACCAGATGAGCAGGATGAGCTTCAGTTTGGCTCAAGCATAGAGTTCTGTCTACGTTTCTTTACAGAGACACAAACATGGAAAGAACAGATTGTGGATCTTTGGGTAATTCACTTCCAAATCTAGTTTACTGGATAATGAACAGCTCAGGAGGTACATAGTGGTTTTCCACTCCTACCCCTTCCCATACCCAAATTCTATCCTGTTCCAATCCCCCTTACATACCTGTGACCTCTCCTTCAGGATCCGTCTGCTTGACAAACGTCTTCAGATTCTCAGCAAACACTCCTTTCTTGGCCAGCAGAGTGCTGTAGGGTCCCTTCTCCAAGATGGTGCCATTCCCCACAACCACAATCTCATCCATTTGGGGAAGAAAGTGAATGCTATGTGTAACCAAGAGTCGAGTCTGTAAAAATAACAGTAAATTGTGTTGACTACCCTATGTCCACCACCTTCCTTGGTTTACTTTAAAAAAGGAAAAACAGATGCTTCAACTCACTGTAGGGCTTTGCTCAAAGTGTGGTTCTGACCACTTGAGTCTTTTACTTCCTCTTTCCTTCCAAGCACCTCATGCTAAAACCTGACCCTAGGTGTAAGTTGAGACTCCTGTCATCGTGGATATATTCACAGTTATTTTCCTGTAGTGACAATGAGGCTTGCCCTACACACATTCTCCTCCAGCTTCCTGGGTACACAAGAGTTGGACTTAGGAATGTCACTTGAGATCAAGACCTATCAATATAACTGATGTATACAAAACTAACTAAATAACTAGTTAACTAACTGCCCCTTTCACTAACCAGCTAATCAACTAAACTAATAAGAAGTGCCCAGATTCTTTCAGTATGTTAGGGCAAGAAACTTTGTCTTTGGCCCAGGCCATCCCTGGTATGGGAGACTTAGCATCCCTTGTATTCTTGTCTATTTATGAACCACATTAACTATTGCAACAGGAACTCCACTCAAAGAAAGACAAACATTCATGGATCAGCAACGAGGCTCAGATAGGGACCATAGGGCTGAGACAGATAGGCCTCTGGAGAAATGACCCAAGCCCACTGCTATCAAAAGATACTATCAAAAGATAGTATCATTTGAGAAGCAAATGAGACAATGCAATCAAAGTGCGGGTGCATGCCCCACCCCCATGTCTTCAGCACTTTAAATAATTTCTCACCTTGCCTTTCAATAGGCCATTGGGACCCAAGACCTTATTGAAAATATGTTTTCCCACATGAGCATCCACAGCTGACAGGGGGTCATCTAGAATATAGATGTCTGAATTTTGATAGGTAGCTCTGGCCAGGCTGATCCGCTGCTTCTGACCCCCACTAAGATTTATACCCTGAAGAAGAAAATAAATTCTGTTAAGCACTACTCCATAGTCCCACTTTCACAGAGGCTATTAAGGAGGGGTAAGGAAGAGATTTGCTTCAATAAAGTATCAATGGCTTAAAAATCTTACAAGTTCCTTTATTTGTATAAATAATTTTGGTTCAAATAAATTACTTTAAGCCCAATAAATAAAAGTATGCCCAACTTACCACTTTCTATCATATGATTTATTTATTTATTATTTTTGTTGCTTCCTGCCCCATGAGAATGTAGAGCTATACTAGGGCAGATTTTCTCTACTTTGTTCATAGATGTAACTCCAGCACTTAAAACAGTGCCTGGCACATAGTAGGTACTCAATAAATGTATGTTGAATTAATGAACAAAATCCCTCCAGAGTTGTCACTTACTAGTTTTCTAACATCTCAAGATCCTTGTCCCCTAGAGATTGCTATATTCACTTTCAGTAATGGAGAGGGAGGATGAAAACATCCTAAATATTTAGTAATCAGGGATTTCTAAACAAATTATGCTATATACATATAATAGATACAATAAAGTCATTAAAAATCGATTTTTAAGAAAGGCATTTAATAACCTGAGAAAATAATTCATACTAAATTTCTAAGTGTTTGAAGCAGAGTATCAGAACCCTACTCGGGCCCTCACTAATATACAGAAGCAGAGTCAGGACAAGACAGAGTAGGGATGGCACTCTGCCCCTCATCCTTAACCACCAGGTCCAGCACCTCCCAGCCCAACTATTTTTGAAGTCAAGATAAGCGATCTTCCAATCAAAAAACTGCCAAGCGGTGGACTCCAACTCCTACATGTGCACAAAACCTCGAGACGACCACTATACGACCTTCCTGGGCTGGTGGTAGTGAGCAACATCACCACGTTGGATCTACTGGGCAGGCGCTGGGACTGTGACCCCTACGGGGCATGCGAGGACACCACAGGGAAGAGAGAAACAGAATTCCTTTGGAGGAGGAGAATCATGATGCCAGTCTGCTCCCTTCACCCCATAAAAGACTCAGGATGACTCCCTTTGGGGACCCAGCCAGAGAGCGGCTTCTCCTGTGCTGTGTCCCTTGTGCTTAAGCATCAGCCACAATTAAACTTTGTCTGAGACTTTGGTTGGGCTTCTTGTCAATTTCTATTATACAGAGAACCTATGAACCTAGGGTCGGTATCAAGGACACCTATGCTCTTGTCCTGCCTCTGCCCCCCTCAATTGTGAGGTCAACCTTGGGCCAGTCACTGGTCACTTAACCACTCAGGTCCTAGCCTCATCATTTTTCCTTTAGATTACCTAATTCTTATATTTGCTTCCAGGTAACAAAATTTGAAATTTCTGAGTTATTTGCACAAAATACTGTGCAAACTCATGTTTTCTGGTATTTGTTCCAAACATGACTACCAAAATTGGTCAGCTATTTTACTCCCATGTACTTCTTCACCATCCTCACTTTTTCTCTTTACTATTTCTTCACCCTTCAAGGTCCCTTGGTGTTCCAATTACCTTCTCTCCAATCTCAGCCCGGTCTCCTCCAGGCAGCACTTCCAAGTCTGGGAGGAGGGCACAGGCCTCCAGAACTTGCTGGTATCTCTTTTCATCGAACTCTGCTCCAAAAAGGATGTTGTCCTTTATGGTGCCATTCTGGATCCAGGACTGCTGTGGGACATAGGCTACAGTGCCCTGTATGGGAAGGATCAGACCATATGACAGCTGTACCTCCAGAAATGCAGGGTTGAAGGAAGGGGTGGCAGGAGGGGAAAGGAACAAATGGAACTTAGATTTGAAGAAATGTATGTCAGACTGACTATCTGATACTAACAAATGTGCCTGTGTTTACTGCACCAACCAGGGAGAAAAATTCAATATCCTATTCACAATTTAAATACTCCTTTTTTTAAGAGAACTACAGGCCAATATCACTGATGAACATAGATGCAAAAATTCTAAACAAAATTTTGGCAACCAGAATTCAGCAATTCATCAAAAGAATCATACATCATGATCAGGTGGGATTCATACCAGGGACACAGGGATGGTTCAACATCCGCAAATCAATCAACATGATACACCACATCAACAAACTGAGGAATAAAAACCATATGATCATCTCAATAGATGCAGAGAAGGCATTTGACAAGATCCAACAGCCATTTATGATAAAAACTCTGAACAAAATGGGCATAGAAGGAAACTACCTCAACATAATAAAGGCCATATACGACAAACCCATAGCCAACATCATACTCAATGGGCAAAAACTGAATGCCATCCCCCTGAAAACAGGAACGAGACAAGGATGCCCTCTATCACCACTCTTATTTAACATAGTACTGGAGGTCCTGGCCAGAGCAATCAGGCAAGAAAAAGGAATAAAAGGAATCCATATAGGGAGGGAAGAAGTGAAACTCTCGCTGTTCGCAGACGACATGATCTTATATATAGAAAACCCCAAAGAATCCATTGGAAAACTGTTAGAAGTAATCAACAACTACAGCAAAGTTGCAGGTTATAAAATCAATTTGCATAAATCAGTAGCATTTCTATACTCCAGTAATGAACCAACAGAAAAAGAACTCAAGAATACAATACCATTCACAATTGCAACAAAAAGAATAAAATACGTTGGGGTAAATTTAACTAAGGAAGTGAAGGACCTATATAATGAAAATTACAAGGCCTTTCTGAGAGAATTGGATGATGACATAAGGAGATGGAAAGACATTCCATGTACATGGATTGGAAGAATAAACATAGTTAAAATGTCTGTTCTACCTAAAGCAATCTACAGATTCAACGCCATCCCAATCAGAATCCCAATGACATTCTTTACAGAATTAGAACAAAGAATCCTAAAATTCATATGGGGCAACAAAAGACCCCGAATTGCTAAAGCAATCCTGAGAAAAAAGAACAAAACGGGAGGCATCACAATCCCTGACTTCAAAACATACTACAAAGCTACAGTAATCAAAACAGCATGGTACTGGTACAAAAACAGGTGCACAGATCAATGGAACAGAATTGGAAGCCCAGAAATAAAACCACACATCTATGGACAGCTTATCTTTGACAAAGGAGCTGAGGGCATACAATGGAGAAAAGAAAGTCTTTTCAACAAATGGTGCTGGGAAAACTGGAAAGCCACATGTAAAAGAATGAAAATTGACCATTCTTTTTCACCATTCACCAAAATAAACTCAAAATGGATCAAAGACCTAAAGGTGAGACCTGAAACCATAAGGCTTCTGGAAGAAAACATAGGCAGTACACTCTTTGACATCAGTATTAAAAGGATCTTTTCGGACACCATGCCTTCTCAGAGAAGGGAAACAATAGAAAGAATAAACAAATGGGACTTCATCAGACTAAAGAGCTTCTTCAAGGCAAATGAAAACAGGATTGAAACAAAAAAACAACCCACTAACTGGGAAAAAATATTTGCAAGTCATATATCTGACAAAGGCTTAATATCCATAATATATAAAGAACTCTCGCAACTCAACAACAAAACATCAAACAACTCAATAAAAAAATGGGCTGGAGACATGAACAGACATTTCTCCAAAGAAGATATACGGATGGCCAATAGGCACATGAAAAGATGCTCATCATCGCTGATCATCAGGGAAATGCAAATCAAAACTACACTAAGATATCACCTTACACCCGTTAGAATGACAAAAATATCTAAAACTAATAGTAACAAATGTTGGAGAGGTTGTGGAGAAAAAGGAATCCTCATACACTGCTGGTGGGAATGCAAACCGGTGCAGCCACTATGGAAAACAGTATGGAGATTCCTCAAAAAATTAAAAATAGAACTACCATACGATCCAGCCATCCCACTACTGGGTATTTATCCAAAGAGCTTGACGTCAGCAATCCCAAAAGTCCTATGCACCCCAATGTTTATTGCAGCACTGTTTACAATAGCCAAGACGTGGAAGCAACCTAAGTGTCCAGCAACAGACGAATGGATAAAGAAGATGTGGTACATATATACAATGGAATACTACTCAGCTGCAAAACAGAACAAAATCATTCCATTTGCAATAACATGGATGGACCTTGAGGGAATTATGTTAAGTGAAATAAGCCAGCTAGAGAAGGATAATCTGTGTATGACTCCACTCATATGAGGAATTTAAAATTATGGACTAAGAACAGATTAGTGGCTACCAGGGGAAAGGTTGGGTCGGGGGTGGGCACAAAGGGTGAAGTGGTGCACCTACAACACGAATGACAAACATTAATGTACAACTGAAATTTCACAAGATTGTAACCTATCAATAACTCAATAAAAAATAAAAAAAAATTTAAAAATTTAAAAAAATAAAAAAAAATACTCCTTTTTTTGACCATCAGTTTCTAGCCTTGATCCTGAAAATTGGAGGATAAATGCACGTGTTGCTTCTGGAACAGGATTTTAGTCAGACCCAAGTGAGTTTACTAGGACCAACAGAGGGCTGACACTGAGAGGGGAAATGGTATAGGCGACATCCTAGGAAGCCAGAACTAAGAGATTGGAGTTAGGGCACCAGGCTGATGCTTGAAGCAGATCAGGTGCAAAGAGAGAGGGAACCTGACAAATGCCTACATTTGAGGATGGACTCAATTATGAGTTAGCAAGAAAAAGCGTCCTAAAAGGAGTTAGGGGTTAAATCTGTAGAGGCTACTCTGCTATACTGCATGTTTATTTAATGCAAATTCACTCATTAGTGATTGGTAAATCAGGGAATAATGTCAGTATAATGTGGAAGAAGTGATGATTCTTAGTTTTTTTCAAGCATTTCAGTGTAAAGCAATCAGGGACAAACTTTCTCATAACTAAAAAGAAAGGCTTTATATATATATACTTATATATATTTAAACATATGAAGATTTTTAGGAAAAAAGCTAAAACTCTATAGACATGCCTCTTTTTGGTGCAAGCAGTGGCTGGTTAAATGATTCTAAGTACCCATAATTTCCTCTAAATTTAGCTCTCTGGGGAAGCTGAGAGTGCTGACAAAGATGCCACGAAAAGATTTCCTCTCTGTTAAAAAAAATCGTAACTCATGAAGATGTCTACAAACTACATCAAATTTTTATATTGGAAGTAAGTACTCTCAAAGACCAAACTCTTAAAAGGGGAGGTGGGAGGCCCAGAACTAATTGTGATGCTGGGTGTAATTGCCAGTGGAGATTTTACAGTGCTACTGTTTTCATTGTTATTCTTGTTATTGTTTTTGTTGATACCCTGGTTACAAAGTTATGTCAGTTTTTAATGATCTGTTCTAACTCTTTCTTCCTAGGTCCTGTTATTTTTATTGCACAATTTTGTAGAATGTGAGGTTTTCAGAAACACAGATATAGCAGAATTGCTTAGACTTTGAAGGAAGACAGCTCTATTCAATAGTTTTCAAATTTTAGTATGCATATGAGCATAACCTGGGGAGCTCATTAAAAGTGCAGATTCATAGAATCTACCCCCAGAGTCTGATTATATCTGGAGGGTGGGGCAAAGAATCTATAGGTTGTGAGTCTACCAGATGCCTCCAAGACCTCACCCACAGCAACACAACAATGGTCATCAGATTCTAGTCTTCAGGGCATTCTCTCAAATGAGAAAGCAGCACTAAGTGTCCCACATTTGAGTGCCAGAAGTCTCTTCTTGGCATTCTCTCTCACCTTGATGGTAATGTGTCCATGGACATTTTCCATTTCTCCCAGCATGGCTGACATCAAGGAGGATTTCCCAGAGCCCACAGTGCCCACCACAGCCACCAACTGGCCTGGCATAATGTCCAGGTTCACGCTGAAAGAGAGTGTATTTGAAAGAGATGAGGGGAGTTATTCCAGAGTAATTCAAGCTACTTCTCAGACTCCATGGGAAGATTGGAAAATTTGTCTTGGATATACAAGACTCCAAAGTGCTTCTTTAATGATCCTTTGTGTGTGTGTGTGCGCGCACCAAATGCGGGTTTCGACAGGAAAATTTATCTTACAACCAACCTGGTACCACTAAACAAGACCCTTGTGGGGGCCTGGAGACCTGAGATCAAGTTCCAACTCTACCACTGCTGAGCTGTGTGATCTTGGACTGTTACTGCCTCTGGACTCTCATTTCTAAACTAATGAGGTTAGACTCGATCAATGTTTCCCAAACTTAGCTATTCAATGAGACTAGCCATTCAAGGGAACCACTTGCTGAAGCACAGATTCCCTTCCCCCTCCCCTGCAGACCTGGCTGTGTCTGCTGGAGGGAGTCCCACATTAGGCTAGTTCCTGGAAACTCTGTGTGCCAGCCCTATTATTTGAGTCCCTAGAACATTAGAAACATCAGGAATTTGTTCACCGTCTTTCTGAACCTGCCCATCAAGTTCACTTCTTCTAGACTTATACTAGCAAATGGGAGCTGTGTCCCATCTCCTCTCTGTAAAGGGAGGCTTTCAGGTTGGGAGGGTTCAGAGGAGGGTCTTCTGGCCTGACACTTCCTGGGGCAAGCTCCAAGTCCATGACAAAGGCTGCAGGAACAGGAGAGAAGGGCAGACAGTCTTGGGTGTAGCCGGAAGATGATAATTTTGTGCTTGGCTGTGAAGAAAGAGCCACCTACGCAGGCTCCTCCTGTACTCTGTGTGTGCTGTGCTCAGTGGATGAGTTGGGTCTGCCATTACATGTAGTGCTTAAGAAACACATTACATGCAGCAGTGTGGCATAAAAGGACCGGCTTAAGGCAGAGGAAGTGGCCTAGAAGGCAGGATGTGGGAACGTGTTGTTTAGATGTAAAACTCCAGATCTGAAATTGAATCTTATTCAGCTCCCATTGTCCACTCTGGGGAAAGAAGCAAGATTCCAATGTTCTTGATGACTATTCTTAAATTAACGAATGAATTTATATTGAGTTCAGCTTCTTGTGTGTATCCTCTACCATACCCAGAGAGCTAGGCCACCTGCCAACCCTGCACCACCTCCATCCACAATCTGGAGAACAAATGTCTTCATGAGTTCTCAGCTGGATGTGTGTAGTCCCATAATAGGAAAGCAGGGTGGCAGATGCAGTTATGGGCAAAGAAGCTCAGGATCTTTGCTGTCAGTGCATCGCTTCAGGGGGTTAGCCTACACTGGTATTTAACTGAACGTGTACACATAGCTCATTTCCCCATATGTTTTATTACATGGAATTTTCAAATAACAGGACTGTTATCGAGAATCCTAAAGAACAGCAGGATGGAAAGCAGGCAACTCACTCTCGGATTGTGGCTTCCATGTCACGGTCCCAGGTAAAGGAGGCCTCTGAAAACTGCACAGCTTTGTCTGTTAAGAAAAACGCCCCCTCTTTTAGTCGGATGTAGGTCCCTACATCTCTCTGCCCTTTCTCAGCCTTCATATGTCCCTCTCTACTTCTTCCAGCAGATCCTGAGATCACCTTTGTCAGGTGCTGGCTCCTCCGCTAAGGGGGCAAACGAAAGCTCCTGGGTGAGACTAGAAGTTGCTTGCATATAAGGTCCTTTTTGATTCAGGAGTCCCAGCCCTGTCGGTAGCAAAGATTCCTGACCTACAGACCCTCTGGGTACATTCTCAGGCCCTCTGTCATCTAGTCTCCTGGTACAAATTCCACCTCCATATGTAAATCCAGCCACTCCCTACCCTGGATTCCAGACCTACTGCTCACTCTGGCGGTGGATGCATCCTCAGTCCTTAAACCTCTAGAACCTGTGTGTTCTTTCACTCCAGCCTACCTTCCAAATTCTACATGCTTAGCTCTACCCTGCTTTCTAGATCCTTTGGAGGATGGCCTGCTTATCCTCAGAATAGCGGGCCCAGCTTTGCTTAGCAATCTGTCTAAGCAATTTGTTCTAAGTGAAAACATAATTTAAAACATTATGCTTATTATGCAAATATAAGTTCAAGAGCAGTCCCTTAGCTGTCCCTTCAGTCAGTTTGCTGCTGCTGAGCCCTTGTCTATCAAAGTTCTGGTGCCAGAAGTTTGGGAAGCAAATCTAAGTTCGTTTACCAAAGTTGGAGTCACGTCGAATGGCAGATGTGTCCAAGTCATCCCCTCCCAAGTACTTCTCTAGCCGATCTACGGAAACACTGGCCTAAAGAAGGACACAAAGGATTGCAGGAATGAAAAATCCAATGACAAACACAAATAGGGAGAGGATTTTGACTTTGTCATCAGCCTTGGATATGGAAGCAGACAGTCAACCTGCTAGGCTTCTTGCCCATAATTTGTCATTTGCCACAGCTGGAGCCTCCCAACACCACCACAGACTCAGCCACACCTCAGCCCTAGGGACCATCCCACTCTGGACAGAGGGAAATTAAGATGGTCTGTTTCAGCTCCTCAGACAACTTGGGTGGTGGGAGGTTAACTCTACTGCTATCTCTCCAGTCTTTCTAGTTCCAGAAACTCTTCTGCCTTTCTCTAAGACAAAACCCTATCTTCTAACTGGTTCTGGCAACGAGGCCCCTGGCATGTTCTTCTTTAACTGAGTCCATGCCTTGATGAGTCATCCAGTGTTCTAATTGAGCCACTATTGGGACCCTCTGTAGAGTAGTTGGCTATGTCACCATAATGACCTTGCCCATCTCCACATAGGCCACACAGGCCGAGCTTAAATTGCAGTTGATCTAAGCTTTGGCAGAGCATACTGTGGTCCTCCTGGAACATGAGAACTTGGGAGGATTTGCAGGAGGTTTTACAAGGACATTTCTCATTTGCCTCCCTACCTTCCAGGGAGGCTGTCACAAGACGGTTTTTCTCATCGTCACCTGGGTTCTGACGAAGTATTGGGCTTTCTGCCTTGCCCTCTCCTTAGAGTGCAACTGCAGGCTGTAAAACTGCTCAGCTGCTGCATGGATCAGCTCCTCAGAAACAGAGTGCCCCACTGCCCCTGATGCATTGTCATCTGGCCCCTTCTGTTTCAGGGTCTTCTTGTGGGACAGGGAATGCAGGGAGCTAACACCTTTGCTGATCTTTCTTTTCCTATCTATGTAATAAACCATTTGAATCTAAAAAGAGTGTGTTGTTTCTTTATCAGTCCAATCTGTCAGGGACAAGGAGGTCTTCTCCTAAACCCTAGTCTTGCCTACAGCCTGAGCTGTCTGAAGGCAGCCACCTCTGCGATGAATGCAGATCACCACACTCCATCATCCTGGTTGCCTCACCAGTCTGCCACCTGTCCTGTGATCTTGCTCTTGAGGTCTGGTACCTGGTCCATCTCAGTGGCTATGCTTGGTGTTCAGGACCCAGACACTCCCTCTGGCCCATCCCCCTGAACTCCAAACTCATTTTCTGACAGCTTGAAACTCCCAAATTGTCTTTGGTTTTACCATCACATGGTTTCATGCAAAGAGAGGGTCTTTTTTCTCCCTTCATGTCATAGTTCCCTAATGCCTAAATACCTCAAGAGCCTTGGGGAAATGTGGGGGAAACTGGACTGGGGAAAGGGCTTAGAAATGTTCCAGGTGCCAGGGCTAATCGTAATAACCTCACTAATGCTTTCACAAAGCATTGTCTCCCTGTGAGGGAGGTGAGATTGGTAGGGTCATCCTCATTTTATAGTCAGATAAACTGGGGCTCAGAGAGCTTGTGGTTTTCCTAAGATCAAACCATTGTTTCCCAGAGACCAAACAAATCTCTCTAATTGGAAATTCACTAGCAGAAGCTATAAATGAGATATGAAAGGCCGATCATTCTGGAATCTAAGGCTTTTAATCAGAGATAATCAGTTAGCAGCAAGAGTTCCTACCTACCTGGAGCATGGAGGAGATTAACATGGGAAGCATGCTCATGGGAAAGCGTAGGATATTGAAGAGGGTGATGGAAGTGAAGGCCTTTTCAGCAGTCAAAATATTATTGCTATCCACCAGGACATAAACAGAAAATGTGGTCACAGACACCTGGAAAAGCAAAGTCATGAGCAATTCATTCCTAAAAGGGCTCAAGCAGCCTTGTGCTAAGTCTCAGGAATACAGCATATCAGAGTTGAAGGAGTCTTAGGGATTATCTCAACCTTCCCACGTTACAGATGAGAAAGCTGAGGCCAGAAGATGAGAAAATATCTTACCTGAGGTCACAAAGCCAATTAATGGCATTGCTAGGACCAGGGCTCAGGTTTTCTAGCTCCTATATCAGTATTCCTTCCTCTATGGACCCACAGAGCCTCCCCAAGAAGACAAGGAGCTCTTCTATGCAAGCCCTTCCTGGATACCACATTCATGCTGAACATCTTAGAAACTTGCTCTGGGTTGCCAGACCACCAAATTGTACACAAGGGTGAAACTAGAGTTGGGAGTATGATGTAGGAATAGCAGCTTGGGGAATTGAGGAGAGGGGCTGGATTTCGAGGTCAGGCCTAGAGGCCCTGGGCAGTCCATCTAGACAGACCTACTTCTTCAGGAAATTGACCCAGCCCACTGACTCCTGTCACTCACCAGGACAGGAGTTAAGTATAAGAGAAATGTCATCACAGACTGCAACTGCCCAAAGGTCAGAAGGTTCCTGAGCTCTTTCTTCCGAAGGTTGTGGACTTGGTCTTTGAAGGAAGGTTCCCAGGCAAAATATTTCAGGATCTAATAGGATAGAAAAGAGCACAGCTTACACTGTTGCCCTGAAAGGACACCAGGTGAGTTTCATCCACCCAGGTTTTAGGATATGCTCCCCAAAATTTGGGAGGTAGAAATCCAGATTATAAAGTATGATTACAGGATGGTAGCTTGCATTTTCTAACAACCTACTATGTACAAAGCATTTTATATACATTATCTTACTTAATCCTTATAAAGACATTAGTGTGACTAACTGTCCCGGTTTGCCTGGGACTGTGGGGTTGCCCAGGACACCAGGCTTTCAGTACTAAACCCAGTGAAAATCAGGGAGAGTTAGTCCCCTACTTTTGTAGAATTATTGTATCCATTTTAACAATAAGGAAACAGGCTGAGAGAGGCTAAGTAACTTGTCTCTAATGTTAAAATCCATTAATTCAAAACTACGTATATATATTAAAAAATAACTTACTCGTCACCTTTGGAAGATGAAAAGCGTTATTTTGAAAGCTAGTAAATAGAGGGAAAGAAGCAAGCATTTATCCTGCCTATCTATAATACAAATTTTATTTTAGAGTAACCAACTAGTTGATTGAAGATAATTCTCCTTTATAGAATCCTAGCTAATCAATGTCAAAGGAATAATAGAATTAAAATATCACCCTTTTGCAACTCCTAATGAAAGAATGGATCAAGGCAATGATCATCATGCTAAAACTTTTATGACAGTGATTTTTAACCTTGGCTGCATATTAGAATCACTTAGGGAGCTTTTAAAAAATATGTATGACTGGGCCTCTCCCTGAAGAGTCCAGTTTAAATGGTTTGAAGTAGGACCCAAGACTCAGTGGGTTTTACAAGTTTCCCAGGGGATCAGAATGTGCTACCAGGGCCACAGATCACTGCTCAAGGTGAAAGAATGGCAGGAAACCTAACAAGGGATAAATCAGGCTGACAACACCTGGACTCTCGTCCACTCAACGTCTCTGATGTTTGGAAGCACACAACACCAGCTGAAGGTATCCTTGCCCCGCCACCCCCACCAAAACAACAACAACAACAACAAAAATCAAACCTAAATCTAATCAAGGCTCTAGATATAACTACCAATTTAGGGGAAATAAGACAACCTGTTTTCTCCAATACGACAAAAAAAGGGGGGAAAGAGGGACTATTATGGATTAAAAGCACTATCAACTAAATGCTATGTGTGACCGTTTTTCAGATTCTTATTCAAAACTAACCAACAGCAGAAGAAAAAAAGACATATATGAGGCAATTGAGGAAGTTTAATAGTACCAAAGAATAATTGTTAATTTTTTTAGATGTGATAATGTTTTCTGGTTATTAAAATGAAGTTCTTCTTTTAGAAACACATACAAAGTATTTACAAAGGAAATGAGAAGATATCCGAGATTTGCTTTAAAATAATCTAGCAGGGCATGAGGTGGGGAGAGCGAGTAGAGATGAAATTAGTTAGGTCATGCTGATAATTATGGGAGCTGTGCAATAAGTCCATGGGGGTTCATTCTATCATTCTTTCTACTTTTGTGCACATTTGCCAATTTCTACAGTAAAATGTAAAGACAAAACACCCATTTAAGTTAAATAAACAGAAATCAAGGTTTAAAAGAGGGCCTGAGAGGGGTAGTAGGAGAAGAAACAGGAGACTGGGTAGATGAGTCAGGAGGCACATGACACACCACAGGCCCAGGAGCAAGGCCTCTGTGAGGGTTTGTTAAGGGCGAGAACCCACCACTCTTGTCATTGCACACGGAGGACCACCTACACTCGGCTTCTCACCTTGATCCCACTGAGAATCTCATTCATGATCTTTAAACGTTTGTCTTTATTCTTCATATTTTTTACCTGCCGGGAAAAAGTAAAACAAAAACAAAACACACTTCCATGTGAGGGTCCAGACTTGTCTCGGCACTTGCTAGGACAGACACTTGTGGCTGCCGCTTGGTAAGAACTTGAGGGGCGCTGTGATGGGACGCATCTCTCCCACTCTCCTCTCTTTGCTCACTCTGCTCCTGCCACACCCATCTTCTTTCTAATCCTTGAAAATGACAAGCTCATTTCTGCCCGCACAGCCTTGGCCTGACTGTGCCCTCTTCCCAGGATGTTTTTCCCGAGGCTTGCCCCTTCATGGTCAGGCTTGTGTTGTTCAGAGCTCAGCTCAAATGTCCCCTCCTCACAGAGGTCTTTCCTGTTTTAATCTAAAACAACCACCCACTCACTTACTATCCCATCACCCTATTTAATTCTCTGCATAGTACTTATCATGACCTGATAGATTTTTTCCTTTTTTTTGTTTATGACCTGACTCTCCACGAGAGCAAGAGCCTTGTCTAATTTGCTGCTGTGTTCCCAGAAAAGTAGTGTGAAAGAAATATTTTTAAAATAACTATTTTAAACTAAATGAATGCAAAATGAATGAATGAATAAATCGTGCACACCATTGAGTCCTCCCATCCAACCTATGATTTCCCGCAGAGCTAAGGACTGTTCACCTGGAGCCCTGTCATCTGATGGTAGCTGGGTTGATTGCTAAAATTTAGGCTTAATATTTGGGTGACTCATGTGACTGCCCTGCATGGTTGGTTTGTATTGCTATGATGGAAAAACAAGGCCAATAATCAATGTTCAAAGAACAGCCCAGGGGAGCAAGGTAGAAGAGTTATAGGCAGGATCCCTGGGCAGCTCTTCCTTCTCCAGTCAGGCTCTTCCCTCTAACATGAATGAAGATAGAGTACATAAACCCTAAGAGTGGTCCAAAGATGAAAAGGAAAGATAGAGAAAGCCAAGTTCATTTGGGATGGTGGAAAGCCTTCTACCAGCTTTACCTTGCCAAAATTCCCACCAAGAGTTAGAACAGATTAAGCAAAAGACTTTAGAACTTGAAGAAGGTGTGTATATCCCCAAGGGGACTCCGTTTCTTTACCTGAATAGCTCTATTCTTGGTGGCAAGTATCCCATTAAGTGGGATTAGGAGCACCATCACCCCAACACCTGCTAAGACTGAGGGTCCCATCTCTGCCCATAGGAAGTAGATGGATAAGATAATCTGTAGAACAGTTGACCACAGCAAGTGGATGAAATTGGTTACATCCATGAGCTTCTGGGCATCCACAGACATCAGGTTCACTGTTTCTCCAATGGTGTACTGCTTCCTGGTCTGGTTGGATAGAGACAGGGCCTAAAGATAAAGATTGGGATTGGGAGTCATGGACAAGGCCAAAGAAACTGGGGAGTTAAAGGGGAAACTCAGGAAGTGAGAACACAGTAGAAGGATGGGCTCCATGTGCATACAACTTTTCCAAGGAGCTGTGCCTTCTTGCCTCCAAATCTTACAATGTTGTCTCACTCTTGACCACCCTTTTCTGTCATTCCCACCTTCCCCAACCCCACGCTCCCACCCACACTTCTTTGCTCAGAAAACTCCTATTTATCCTTTAGTGTCAGCTCAGATGGAACCTGTTCCGAGAAGACTTTCCTGACTCCCAAGTTTGGGTTAGATACTCCTCCTGCATACTGCCATAACATCCTGTGCTTACTCCTGCCATTACATTCATCACACTGACCTGTAATTGTTTTGTTTTTCTATTTCTCTACTAGACGTAAACTCTGTGAGGACAAGGGCTACATCTGTCCATTTTGCTAGGGTATCACGTGGTTCACAGCAGTGAATCAAATACTGAAGTATGGAAGGAACAGAGGGATGAAGGGAGAAGTCATGTGTTGATTCCAGCCTTGCAGACTTTTGATGTGGGAATGTCATTTGGGGCCAATACCCTTCTGAGGAGGTTGCAACCATTCCCAAGAAGGATAGAGCTCTTAGAATGGAGAGGAAAGTTGCAGGGTTTACAGTTTTGTTTATTGTTTGTTTGTTTAATCCTTATGTTAGAGAGATCAGAAAGCTGACGCCCACGGATCTGTCACTTACAGCACTACCTTACACAAATGCACCCAGCCAAGGGAATTCGGGGGTGGGTAGGCACTGAAAGCAGCCTGCAGGATGCTCACCAAGCCACCATCTGATGTGGGCTACATCTTCCTGGAGGAGGGAGAGCTTTCTAATTCTCACAAAAACAATATATGGGCTCTGAGTGGCCCTAGATATCCACCTGCATCCTCCTCCTAGAAGCTCTACTGCCATCTTAATCCACCAAGACGTTCTTCTTTGGAACATACCAGCACTTGGGGTTGTACAGTAAAAGGAGTGAAATTTCCTAAAATGTTAGGCCACCAAGGTTCTGGGGAAATCTGTCTACTCTTGTGCCTCCCTTTTGGTATAGAAAAACAAAAAAAAAAGTAACATATAATTACCTTTCAAGGTAATCACTATACTTTTCTTTTCTCAATATATCTCAATAAAGTTGAAAAGTCATTCATTTAGTTCCAATAGCCCTCGTCTGGGGGCAGGTCCTGACTATGTGATTGTAGGCATTGAAATGATCTAAACCTTGCTTCTCTGTAAAATAGAGATAATGTGGTTACTTCATAGGGGCTATGAATTGATAATGAATGTGAAAAAGGTTTCATCACATTTCATGAATGAAGCATTGTCTAAACATACGAAATTGGTCAATTTTAAATTCTATTTTAGTAGTGATATTTATTTGAATGCAGGTCCCATTAAGGGCTCTATTTTACAGATTCCTTACGGATTATAACAGTTGCAAAACCCAGAATATATTAAGAAACAATATAGTGAGAATGAATCATCACAATTGCAAAAGTGTAACATTTGTAGAAATGGCTGAGACAGCCTGATAAGTGACCTCATATTCTGTAAAGCAGCAGAAATCCAGTATCTCCACAAGGTGTAAGAAGATTAAAAAATTAATTGGGAGGAAGACAAATTCCAGCGTGAGCACATCTGGGAGTTCAAAGGACTTGCCCAGACTTCTGATCTAAAGACATTTGGATTACCTGTCTGGGTCTCTTGAAGTGTCAACATCTACTTAGGGAAGACAAAGACACATTAGTGTTTTAAGAGAGGAAAGCAAAGGAGAAAACCAGGACATATAATAGAGAAATCACTATGATGGAGTTCTCTAGTGGTGGGAGAAAAAGAGGAAGAAAAGGCAACTGTTTGATGTTCTGACCTATAAAAAATCCTATCTCCTCACAGATGAATTTTCTCCTCAGGCTTTTAGTCACTGATCGTGACTACTCTATTTTCATTTCTTTCTTTTTATTTATTTATTTATTTAGTGAGGAAGACTGGCCCTGAGCTAACGTCTGTTGCCAATCCTCCTTTTTTTGCTTCAGGAAGATTGTTGCTGAGCTAAGATCTGTGCCAATATCCCTCTATTTTATGTGGGATGCTGCCACAGCGTGGCTTGACAAGTGGTTCCAGGTTCACACCCAGGATCTGAACCTGCGAATCCCAGGCTGAAGGGGAGCACACGAACTTAACCACAACACCATCAGCCCAGCCCCTTTACTTGGTTGGGTTTTTTTTTAATTGAGACATAATTGACTATTTTATTTTTCTTTCTTTTTTTTTTTTGAGGAAGATTAGCCCTAAACTAACATCTGCTGCCAACCCTCCGCTTTTTGCTGAGGAAGACTGGCCCTGAGCTAACATCTACACCCATCTTCCTCTACTTTTTTATATGTGGGACGCCTGCCACAGCATGGCTTCCCAAGCGGTGCCATGTCCACACCCGGGATCCAAACTGGCTAACCCCGGGCCGCCAAAGCAGAAGGTGCGAACTTAACTGCTTCACCACGGGGCCAGTCCTTGACTATTTCCTTTTCTTAAGAGAGAAAATGAAATTTCACCTTGGTATCTAGGACATAAGGAAAATACAGCTGCTCTGAGAAAGTTAAATGTTAAAAGAAACATATCAGGGAAGATGAGCAAAATCATCTTAAGGAAATGGAAAAGTTCCCAAGTCTGCAGAACTTGTAAACGTTTTTACAAATCAAAAAAAGGAGTCAGGGGTGCCAGCCTGGTGGTGTAATGGTTAGGTTCACACACTCTGCTTCAGCGGCCTTGGGTTCATGGTTTTGGATCCCAGGTGCAGACCTAGCACCGCTTGTCAGGCCACACTGTGGTGGTGTCCCACTTAAAATAGAGGAATATTGGCACAGACGTTGGCTCAATGACAATCTTCCTCTAACAAAAAGAGGAAGATTGGCAATAGATGTTAGCTCAGGGCCGGCCTGGTGACACAGCGGTTAAGTTCATACGTTCTGCTTCTCAGTAGCCTGGGGTTCGCCGGTTCAGATCCCAGGTGCAGACATGGCACTGCTTGGCAAAAGCCATGCTGTGGTAGGCGTCCCACGTATAAAGTAGAGGAAGATGGGCGTGGATGTTGGCTAAGGGCCAGTCTTCCTCAGCAAAAAGAGGAGGATTGGCAGTAGTTAGCTCAGGGCTAATCTTCCTCACACAGACACACACACACACACAGAATAGATGTTAGCTCAGGGCCAATCTTTCTCACCAAAAAAAAAAATAGAAAAAAAGAAAGGAGTCAGGTAGAGGTGGTGTTAGTCAGCCACTAAAGATTTAGAAAAAGAAGTCCTTAGGCAAATTTGAGACTGGGGAGATGGATCCGTGGCTCATACAGCATTTTAGTCTATGGTGAAATTGTAATGTGAGATGGACACATCAGGTCTTATGAGCCCAGTTTCATTTAGTATTTGGCTTGCAAACTTCTTTTGTAACTATACATTCTTTCCCAAAGAGTTCACACCTTGTTAACAGAGGTAGGAAGAGGGACAGGTGCACAAGCCATCTGAAAGGCAGATCCTGCCCACATTTCCCTGGAGTGCATCCCCACTGCCACACACACCCTATCTCTGTGTACACACTTTTCACATTTTAATTTCCAAAGAAACATCTAGAGAAGGCTGTATGGTTAGTCAAAATCAAGTGTTGAGGTCAGTTATTTCCATCAAGTTTTCCTCAATCTTGGAATAAATTCTCACGTTTACTAAGAGGATTTTCTTTGGTGACGCCTGACATATTCCACTTACCTTCTTGTATATAGAAGCCATGACGGTTGCCCGTACTTTCGTGCCCAGTATGAAACACAGTTGAAAGTAACTCTGAAGGCAGAAAGACTGGACGAGGGCCACAACAAAGAAGAGGACTGCACAGATATATCCAACCCACACATATGTGTCAAGGTCACTTGTGAAGGAGATCAGCAACCTGCCAGAACAAAACCAAGTAAGTGGTGCCCATCAAGCCGTCAAGTGCTCCTCACACTCCTCACGCACAGCCGGCTACCCTCCCCTCCCCTGTAGGTAACAGAGTGACCAGAATTGTCCAACGCTCTTGGAAGACCTGAGCTCCACGGTTGTGCCAGTGTTTTTGCTTTTGCTTGGAGACAACCAGCAAGAACTTAGGGTTGATGACCCATGGCTGTGTGAAGGGACAATGAATGCCCCACAGAGCTGCCACAGCAATGCTTCGGCCCTGCTTCCCCTACCCCCTAGTAAAAGAGGCTGTGTGGGACAAGTTGATTTGTTCCTGGACAATGCAAGCCTGAAAAGGAATTAGGACATGTATCCAGCAAGAGTTCGAAGGGCTTCCCCCGGAGGATAGTCATTCCACAGATCCCGGCAGACTGTGAAGTCTTGTGATGATTAACCTGAGCCTCCTATTGAAGGCTGTGACTGTGGAGTGAAGAGGTCACAAGATACACTAGGTACAAGGCTCTTCTGGGGTATGCTGTCCACCTCTTGGACATGGCTCAGCTCACAGAAGTTCTGTTTAACAAGAAAGGGCCCCAACAAGTATCTGGCTTCCTGTGAGGGGAGGGATGTGGAAAAGAGGGAGGCTAAAGGATACAGCATCTTAGATCTTGAAAATTGACTTGTGCTTTTCACAAACACAATGCTGTAAGGTGGAAGAAAATTATGAGCATTTAAAAAAATGAGAAGTTAATGATAAGCTCCTTCCTGCATAAAGAAGGGGCAAAAGGGAGAGTGGCAGAGGAGGCCCTGAAAGGACAACCCAAGGCCCGGGGACTCACTTCTGCAGCTGAGGATTCACAAACGTGAGGATGTCATACACCAGCTTCAGCAGGAACGATTTCAGGAGTATGCCGTGGAAAGTTTTGAAGAGGGCCATGACCAACCAGGACTTGGGATAATCTTCTTTGGTCCCAGACTTCTTTTTTTTCTTTTTAGCTTCTTCCTAGGTGTAAAACCAAACAACAACAGTGCCCACAGAGCTGTGTAGTTTAAGACTGTCCTGCACTGAACAGCTCCAGAGTGTTAACTTCCTTGAGCCCTACTGGCTTCTTTGTACAGGATTTGGTCCTCTCCTCACTGCTTGGTCACCATCCACCCTTTTAGCTGCCATCACTGTTCCCCTTCCCCCTCCTAATTGATACTTATAATCTATTTTGGATTAGGAAAACAGGCAACTAAGCTGGTGAGAATAGCACGTAAAAATAAAGAACAGACTCTGATTGGGGGTCTGAGGGGTAAGCCTGAGAGTGAAGGGCGTGGACATGATAATATATATATTTTGGATGTTTTGAAGCCTTTTCATTCTTTTCTTGCTTGTGGTTGTTATGGGATATTCTGGGTTGAATTGTGTCCCCACAAAAGATACATTGAAGTCCTGGCCCCCACTACCTTAGAATGTGCCATTATTTAGAAATAGGGCCTCCGCAGATGTAATCAGGTTAGGATAAGGTCATTAGGATGGGCCCTACTCTAATATGACTGATGTCCTTATAAGAAGAGAAAAGGCATAGGCAGAGAGAAAATGACCATGTGATGACAGAGGCAGAGATTGGAGTGATGCATCCACTAGCCAAGGAATGCTGGCAAAAACCAGAAGGTAAAAGAGGAAAGTGTTTCTCTTCTACAGGTTTCGGAGGGAGCACAGCCCTGCCAATGCTTTGATTTGAGACTTCTGGCCTCCTGAGCTGTGAGACACTAAATTTCTGTTGTTTTAACCTATGCAGTTTGTGGTACTTTGTTTCAGCAGCCCTGGGAATCTAATACATGGGGCCTTACCACTCACTCACCAGCCTTCTCCTTTGCCTGCGTTTTGGCCTCCTCATTACATTCTCCAGAGTCCCACCAAGCCCCAAATTCCAGCTTCCCAGCCTCAGTTTCCAGGTTTTTCTACCAGTGACATCCTCTTGTAATTTCTCCCACTGAGGTCCCATCTGATCCTTCTCTCCCGCCTGGACAACTACCCCAACCTGCCTCCCGGCTTCCACACTTGCCCCTCAACCATCCATTCTCCCAGCAACGGCCCACGTAGGCTTTGAAAAATATAAATCTGATCTCATTATTCCTCTGCTTAAAATTTCCCGTTGGTTTTTCATCAGACTTAAAATAAAATCCAGACTTCTTACCATGGTCCACAACGGTCTACACTGCTTAATCCTATCCACTTCCCTGAGCTCACCTCACCCCACTCTCAACCTCTCTCTCCATGCTCCCGAACCTTCTTTCAGTTCTCGAAATGAGCCAAACATGTTCCTCTCTCAGCCTGGCCCTCCTGCTCCCTCTGACTGGAATACACTTCCTTCTGATGGTCCCTCAGGTAGACTCTTCTAATCGATTGGATCTCTACTCAAATGGCACCTCCTCTGAGAAACCTCTCCTATTACCTTAAAGCAGCACTTCACTCCAAATACATTAACATGTTTTATTTTCTTAATAGCACTTATTACTCTCAAAGAGTAACATCAGTATTGGTTTATTGTTTATTTTCTAGCTTTCTAAAGATGAGGACTCTTTCAGGTTTTTCCTTGTACCCTGTGACCAGAATAGTTTCTGACACACAGTGATACTCAATAAATATTTTTGAGTGAATAAAATAAATGGATTAGCTGCTAATGCTAAATCCCACCCAGGTACAAATTTAGTAATGCTAAGGTATTATTATTATTATTTTTTTAATTAATGTTATGATAGATTACAACCTTGTGAGATTTCAGTTGTACATTTTTGTTAGTCATGTTGTGGGTACACCACTTCCCCCTCTGTGCCCTTCCCCCACCCCCCCTTTTCC